GATTTTCGTTCGGGGGGAGGAAACAAAAATTTTCTTCTGATGAAGGTGCGTGGCATCAGCCACGTTCCCGAAATTTTTTTTTAAATAAAACTAAATTGAATTTTTAAAAAATTAAAAAAAAATATTTTTATTATTTATTATTCACAAGTACAAAATGGTCATTTGCACATCTTTATAACCCGTGTAAGTAACTTTCGCAAATTCTACCCATCCTTGGGGGGGGGGGGGCTGGGCCTTCTCTTTCGGTACGCTACTGTTATAATAGGGAACGTTTTACTTCAAGCTTCGCTATCGGTTCAATTATTGGCATGATAAATGTCGTCATTCTGATTTCAACCTCAAAACTAATACCAGAATTGGACCGTTAATGTTACCCACGATACAATGAAGCGCAATAATTTCTCACTAATTTTTGTGAACATGATATCGCTGACTAGAGACCCTCTTGTATAATTGTGTTTATAACCTAGCTTCACCCACCATTTGTCCTGCATAGAACCCGTCTGTTCGCAATGGTTAGCCGCTGCTTTGTGCAAATAAACCCCAGATTTGACTTGTAAATCTCTAACAAACAACAAATTATTGGGACGTCTTAGCCGGTTTATCGTCTGAGCGAAATTGGGCACAACTTTGGGCAGAAATCGGGAAGAGAAGCTCAACCCTTGAAGCGGACTAGCACTAAGCATTCAGAAATATTGCCTTGAATGCATCGTAGATGAAGCAAGTCATCCTCCACAGAAAATACGAACTCTCTACTGAAAAACGTAAAAGCAAACCTGTAACTGACAGTTTAGCCTATTATAAATATTCTAGAGGATATTCTAACAGGTAAGTCTTCCCATCAGATAAGTCCGACTACAGATAAGTCCGGCCGCAAAAGTTTGGAAGGCATCCTAAAAAAATTTTCGGAGTGCGTGGCTAACGCCGCGCATCTTCATCCGGAAAATTTTTTTGTCGCCCCCCCCCCCGGGGCGGAAATCTCGGGTACGCCATTAGTAGGGCGGACATATTTGAAGGGCCATACCTGCTTCAAAAAAGCGGACTTATCTGTACACGGACTTATCTGATGGGAGGACTTATCTGTGAGATTTTGTGGTATATGAAACAAATTTTCCTTTCCAGATACATGAAAAGCTCATTGACTGCACATGATCATAAAGAAAAACGCATTCATAAGTTGATTAAATAAATAAAAATAAATAAGATAATAAAAGTTTTCCTAAGAGATTGATTTCTTGGTATTTTCCGCAAAAATTAAACTTTTTAAAGAATAGCTCGATTAGCACAAACTTTGCCTACGTAGAAAGAGGAGGTCAGAAAGCCTTTGGCAATGGCTGTTTTGGATTTACTGCACAGTTTCTGAGTTTTTTTTGGGCTTCCGTCAAATCGCCGAACACTTGAAAATTTTAGTTCCCCATTTTAATCTCTACGACGTAAACTAATTGGAGAGCAATCAAAACGCCACTATAAAGTGTATGCTCTACTCTTTCCAGATTTATTTTTGCCATGCAAGATTTTTATGAAACAAAGAAGTTACGATTTTTTGAATATGGTGCGATGGAAGTTTCGGACCAACCTAATAAATTTGTAATAATAATCCAGGCATAAAATTTACACCTCTAGATGAAGATGTCTGCAAAAATCCAAATCTAGATACTATGTTAGTCCACAACAATTTCACAGCCAAAAGATTGACCACCAAATATAATACAAAAACGACAAAAATGACAAAAATGCAGTTTTCTCCAGTATTCTCAAGTGCACATGAAAGTAGTATTATTTATAAATTAGAGGTATTATATAGTTTCGTATAGGAGTAGTATTTTGTATAAAAAAAGATGTACTTGTTTATCTTTCTAAATGCTATAATAAAATATTGAATCTCTGCATAAATACAATAAAGATAATCGAGGTTTATTATGTGCTTCAAACTACGGAGGCTCTACATTTTTACTCATTAAAATTCAAACAAGATCATAGTCACGCTGGGATAAATTATTAGGTTGTCCCAAAAATTTTTGAAAATTTGTAACTTTTTGCCATCTTGACAATTTGCCTCTTTTTCATGTTAAAGAAGTCTTGCTCTTTTTAGTCATGTCTCGAGTAGCTTCCACTATACATACATTGCAGAGATAAAAATGGAAAAAGAAGATAACCTGAGCTTTGACCATTTTAAGTTAGGTCGCCAGAAGTCTGGAAAGCCGTAGAAAAATTTGAAATTGTCAGTATATAGTTTTATGACTCTCTTTTGCGTCTGAAAAAAATTGTGCTGTTTGGACATTTCAATGAAAAATTATGATTTTTGGGAAAAGTGACAGATTAGTCAAATTTGGCGTTTTCTACTGCAAACTCGAAAATTATAATTTTTCACAGAGACGTCCAAACACCACAATTTTTACGGACGCAAAGGGTGGGCCCTAAAACTTATATACTGACAATTTCAGATTTTTCTGCGGCGTTCCAGACTTTTGGCGACCTAACCTAAAATGGTAAAAGCTTAAGTGGTCTTCTTTTTTTATGCAATGAATGAACAGGTGAAGCTCATCGAGATGCCTCTGCAAAGAGGAAGGCTTCTTCTTTCTAATGAAATCAGAAAGATGCAAATCCGTTGAGACAGCGAAAAGTTGCAAATTTTCAGAAATGAAACGACAGAACTTTCGGGACAACCTAATATGTGGAGCTATGCTTAGTTTATTCAACAATATTTGAAGGTGAGTAAAATGTGTATATTACTGTGGAAAATTAATTTAGAAATCGAATGCTTTCAAATCAGTTCGTTTTCAACAATCTGAAATATCAAATGATTTCTAAATACTCAAAGATTAGGTTCGCAGACGTTCCTTTCTTACTGATTGTGAGTAGTTTAATGGAGGGCAATTTCTTTTAACCCCATCCAAGAGCAGTAACTATATGGAGTGTGGCAAGTTTACGGAGGATCACACATTCTCAGCATTTTCCTCGATTTCCAAGAATGAAATCTGTACACTATTCGAGATAACTCCTTCCCTCTTGTGACATCTACTGTGACAACTCATCATCTAAGAGGTTCCTGTATATTTTTCTTATCGTGACAAGATTTGAACGGGAGAAATCTTGCGAGAAGATTGATTATACACCTTATAATTCTATACCTGTTTAGAACCAGTCTTCACACATAGTTTTAGGTACCTCAAAGTCACTGCAAGTTATTCTAATGTGAGCTGACTGCTCTTTGCTGCTCAATTTTTCGTGAAAAATATCAGATACACTGGCAAAGCTATACAAACTCTTTGAGTTTAGGAAGTTACCAGCCATAAACACTTCTTAATTGGTTCTTTCTTGCTACGTCAAGCCAAAGATGCAGAACTAAAGATGTTTTCTGTTTACTTCCTGCATTATCAAAAAAGCAAGTTCCTTGGTGATTTGATGATTGCCCTTGATTACGGTAGTTGTTGGTTTGATCCGATCCGCTGAGCAAACAAAAAATGGTTGGTGCAAAATAGTGCCCTAGCCTGTGCTAGCATGGCGCGCGTCCCCTCCGCCCCTCCCTCCCCGACAAGCACGAAATTTTTGTAATTTAATTATATGGGTGACAAAACGTGCAAGTAAGTTGTTCATTCTCGTAAATAATTTCAATAATCAAAAATTTTCAGACATTCGGCCTTGTAAAAATAGATTTTTCGGGGGCGTACAACACACACCTTCATTTGAAAAAATTTTTGACGCCTCCCTCCCTTCTCGACGGAAATTCTGCGACCGCCACTAAATATGGGACATCATTCGATAGAATGAAGCAAGCTCCACAAAATGACCACTATAGATTTACTTAAATATTTGATCTACGTAGAAATGGAAGCCGAAATGTGAGCATACCAGTGCAAAATCGGATCATTGCCAGGAGAATTCCTACGAGCTTCCCAGCTACGTTTATAACATAGCAAATATATAGTAACATTCATATATGGCACTTGCTGTAATTTTATCGTGCTAAGAGTTTCAGAAAAAATCGATAGACGAGAAATGGCAAACTCCTCCCCTAACTATGCAAACTCTCTCCAACTTGGTCACCGTATACTACAAGCCCTCGGAAGCATACTCTATTCTATAGCATACTCTATTGAAAAAATTTTCGTATTTCGGAATTATGTGAGGGTTGCAGACATGAAGAACTGGATTTCGGAAATTTTTCAAAAAAATTCTAATTATTTTTGGCGAATCTCCAATTAGCATTATTGTAGAGCTCAAAATTTCGGAATTCATTTGTCTTACTAGCAATTCTCCCATAAGTCCAAAAAATTTCAAAAGATGAAAAACAAGATTGAGAATTTTTATAGAATACAAGCTGGCATCCGGGGTTCCACCCCTGTTTGAAGCCGGTTCATCATTCTTGACCTCTTATGTAGCGAAAGTTACCCTTCTATTGATTCCTACCCGTCTTGAGTTCGTTTCCTACTGTCTGTACCATATCTCGATGACCAGCAGATCAAAATGAGCTTCATCGATTATTCTTTACTATTAAAAATAAAAATTTTCTATCTCTATATACATAGAAATAGAAAACTGGAGGTCAACCTTTCGTCAGAGTATTGCCTTTATAGTATAGACAGTCCATGAAGGCAAAAATGATGCCAACGGATAGCCCTTTTTCCGTTCCCCATATAGACCAAATATGGGAACTTGCTGAGTTTTCTAGAGTTTTCCAAAGGAAAAGAAGAAAGTCTCACAAAACTTGTGCAACAATCTAATACTTGGCTTCTGAGTTGTTGGCGTATGAACAAACACTGCAAAGTAGTATAACAGGATTGAGAGTATTGTCGCTTACCCCCTTCTCCCTCCCCCCCCCCCCCTAACAAATGCTAATTCAATTGCCCACTTATCGCTCCCGTTGGTCGCCACCACCAACACTGGGCGCGTCTACAGGTGTGCGGTTGCCGTCGCGCCCTTCGGCTGCCCTTGCCACATCTCACTTTCGCGCTTTTTCGCCACTCTCCCGTATATCTAGCTAGTTCAACCCAGCGATCATGCTATTCTCACTATTACTCTACCTCTACTATGCTACCGTACCTCTGTTAGCGCTCGAAGTAGCGCTAATTCCATCTACGGGCTGTTATAGCCATGATGTTATGATGAAGGATGTAGGGCAAAGTATGCCACAAGGAACGAATATAACGTGGATACAAACGTTTCTTTATGATTTTGGATTTGGAGAGATGCGATTGCCCGAGCAGTGGACACGAATTAGCATTTGGGGACATGATGAAGAAGGTAGGATTTTATGCATAAAAATGAACCCTTTTGTGGTCAAAATTTTTGGAAATTTGCGAAAACGGGCAGATGCGTGGCTACAATTTTCAAATTGTTCTTAAACAGATACCTATCAGCAACACATGATGTTTTATAGCAAATTTTGGACTTAGCAAAGCTCAATAGTTTCAAAGGACAATTGAAATTTATATAAACGCCATGATTTCTAATTGTACTAGCTCTCTCTTTTTCAAAAAACAAATTCCAAGCCAAAGATCAATTCTTACAGTTATGAAATCAACTTGGATCCCCATGATTTCTAAGCCTGCCATTCCTAAAAAGGGAGGAGTGTAAAAGTCAGTTCCATCTCTCAGGTTCAGATGAATTTTCAAACTTCGATTTTGGTCAACTCCCTTTTTTCGTAATCCACTAATTCCACCATAAAGCACAAGCTGTTAGATGCCTGTAGTCACACAGATCCTCATGAAATGCTCTTCTTACATTTTGCTTGACAAAGAGACTATGGGTAAATTGAAATTGAAGGTTCTAATATGCAATAAATGCTGTTGGCTGAATTTTGAAGACAGAATCTTTCTAAAATTATGGAAATTAGCGCAAAAGGAAATCACGCTTTAAGCAAGCATAGTGACAAAAAATTTATTACATTTGTAAATACTGAGTTTATCCTTTCAGAGAAGTGCTCAGCTCTGAATTTCTCTCTCCCTAACCATCCCTTGACTCCTTTGATTTTATGTAGGCCACACTTCAATAAAGTAGAATTTGTTCTATGTTGCTGCTATCAGTGCAGCTATCTTTCAATATGTGACTGGAACTGTCCAAAGTATGACTTACAGAACAAAAATAATTTTCTAAAATGCAAAATGTTGCCTGTCATCGCTCATAGGACACATTCTGAAAGTCAAACCAGTCCCAGATTGAGAATTATCAAATTGGATCTTCGTGGAGGTCCGCTAAACGCGTTTACCTTTTGATCACTTTATTTGAAAATTAATATGATATCTCCATGATGATCTCGAATTGGAAAAAAGACCCTTACGAGGAAGAAGAGAACATAGTTTGAGATTGATATTTTGAGTCAGACGTTCGTTAAGCTTGATGATATATATTTTTTAAATATCCCTTCTAGATTAGTATTATCGAGTAATAGCCAGTCCCCGTTTTGATCAAAAACAACTGTGGCTAGAAAGGGCGCACTAAAAGTACTGATAGCTGTCATTTTTTCCCTAACTAAAAAAATAATTCTCTGAAATTTTTTTTTGTTCTCCGGAATATTTGTATACACCTTACCCTGTGTCAATAAAACATCGCCTTTTTTCGCTGCGAAAAAAATGGTTATGTTTGTCATTTTGGTAACCGCTAAGTTTTTTTTGATTCTTCATTATTTTTTTAATCCCCAAAGCAAATCAGAAAATGGATTATGAGACCACCACGAAGGGGAAAAATCCAATATATAAAGAATCGCAACGCCAATCAAAAAAACATCCGACAGAGGGAAACCTCGGTGCGGTCCCGAAGCGCGCGGATGCAAATCTAGCACCTCTAATTACTGGTTCACTAATGTAGAAAAAATTGGAATCTTGTCCATGTTTCCATTGTTATTGTTTGTAAAAATATGTAAATAATTTTTATTTAAATTACTGTAGATACTGCTCTTATATGCCCTTCATTAAGTTGTTGATGGCTGTTTGAAAAATAATTGAAGAGTTTTTTCTGCTGTTTACTGCCGGGAAAAACTTTTAGGGCTTCTTTCTCCAAGTTTTGGAATTTTTGCAATAAAATTTGAATTATCTGCAATAAAATTTGAATTATTTGCGATGCCATTCATACAAAGTGTTATGGCCACGTTATATGACTATTCGAACAGTGAACTGTATTGTTTACAAGCTAATGCATTGACTGCATGATACCGGTGATTGCCTATTTCGCTAGCATCGATATTTTCATCGCAGAGCGTATCGAAAACATATCGTCACAAAGCGTTTGAAGTCACAAACCGCAATCTTCACAAGTCTGCGGCGGGGAGAAAGTGTAACAATCGGGAGCACGAGGTCATGCGTTGGGTACGATTCCCTATATGCTACACTGAGATAGTAAAGAATAGTAATTATGGGTAAAAAATGACATTTACGCTAGAAAAAAATCAGCAGTTAAAGAAAAAATCTAAAATCCCTCAGACTACTCTTCTCTCTTCCCATATACAAATAGATAACATAAATAAAAAAAAGGCAATTCTATTGTAAATCTCCGTTTCATTCCTTCCCTTTAAGGGCCGGACATACTCCACGCGATTTCAGTCGCGAGGCGATTTGGCAGTATTCCAGCTCTCCATAACTCACTGTAGGCACATTTAAAATGTACAGAAGATAGGGCATTTTATCAACCCAGGTATATACGTACTATGCATGTGCAGTTTGCTAATGTTGATTCTGAGGACTTCTAGCAAACTACCAATTCCCGTCGCGACCGAAATCGCGTGAAGTATGCCCAGCCCTTAAGGCGAGCTAACCTATAGGTCCTCCTTGGAATTCCTCAGTCAGGATTGAAACCCTCTAGATCCCATTATACCCCATAACATAATTTGTGGAACATTACTAACCCTGGACTTCGTGAGATTTAGAATTTTTTTGTAATTACAGGATTGAAGGTGATGCGGACAGCTGGTAGTCTTTTATGGGAACAAAATGTTCCCACAGACTTTGATCGACCGTGGGATCTTCGAGGAAGCTTCCTCTTCTTCAAGTTGGTCCCTAAAAGATAAAAGGTGGCCGAAAGTGCTTGTATTACCGGTTATTGTAGAATGCTCGAGAGACATCAGACTTTTTGTGAGAAAATGCTGGAGGATCCACGTTTCCTACAGTATATGCGGGCGCGAAGGGCAGATATTGTTTTGTTGGATCATTTTTTGCAGGTAGAAATTTTTTTTGCCTGGATTATTTATTTGATGTCTTTTTCAGGAATGTATGGGCGGCTTAGCTTATTTATTGAATTCTTCTGTGGTACAATTTTCAAACTGGCCCATTGCCGATGGTTACATTACATCCTTGAATATACCAGCTAACCCTAGTGCTGTTCCCAAAACAGGTCAGTCGCAAAGGATTTCTTGGAATTTCTGCAAAATCGCAAGTCAAGGGGGGGGGGGGGGGGGAGTGGAGGTCATTGAAAGATCTTTTGTCACTGGTCCGACTATGGGGGATTAATGTTCGACCATCTAGCTTACACCTCGTCCGCGCAGCTCGCCATACTTCAGCATAATCAGACCTGCTTGCCCGACTGCTAATCTCTAAAAGTGAGCGTTTGCCGTCGTTCAAATAGGGCAAATTTTGCGTCGATGCCCCCCCCCCACAATGAGGGTATAGCACGAGAAGTCATAAATGTACCTGTAGTGACAAACCCAAACTTAACTGTCTTCTTCACCATCAATCAAATGCAGATCAGTACTAAAAGTACGAATGTACCAACTAGAATGAATCTGGACGAGTTTTCTCCGGTACTAAAGGAGTTCAGCCGTGACGTCGTTGCTGTCCTTGACTGATTTCGAAGAGCCCCGACGAGACGATCCCATTGATCATTGAACTTTAAAGGCCCTTTGTTGTCTGCTGTTTCGCGTTCTTTGAGGTGAAAAGATCGTACGTGAGCGCCGTGGTCTCTGAACATAAATGATTGAAAATCTAACTTTGATAAGAATCTGTGGACTTGGTGATTTTGCAAGTGTGAAGTTGTTCTCAGAGCGATAAGTAAGATTTCAGATCTTCTTTACAAGTAGTCATTAGCTACATGACTTTAGAATTCAACTCCATATAATGAGTTCGACTTCATTTGTTGCCTTAAGAGTTTTGATCCTTGCAAAAAATGCGAAAAATTCCCCAGAAGTTCCCTATTATTTAAAGAGTGATCCATAATAACTTTTTCTGATCATCGAAATTCACGCAAAAATTATGGTGGTGGTCATGCGACATAAGGTCAAAACGCGGTCATAAAAAATCGCACTTGTGTTCACGTGCTCCTGAAAGGTTTGATAAGAAATTCCTTTGAATGAGTCTTTTGGGACCGCGGAAGTAGTTGAAAAAATCTACAAAAATGATACAGTAATGAGAGAAAATTTCTTGCGATATTAGAAATAATTTTTGGAAAAGTAGTCTGCATATTACATTTTCATTTTTTTTAGCAAACAGGTTTTAGAATAACTAATTTGAACTAGTAATTTTTCGCGAATTGTACATCCCTTGACTGCTAGAGCAAATAACCATCTCCGTCTTAAGGGATGGGATGCGAATAAACACTTTTCAGCAGTTTCCTTCTCTTCTTTCGGTTTGGTAGCAGACTTGACCCAAGAGTCCAAGGGAAAAAGCGTGAGACAGCAGAAGAAGGGGAGAGGAAGGGGGGAGGGAGGAGGAAGCAGAAAATTCTAACACAAGAACTAGAAGCTCAAGTTACAGCAAATTCTCTGTGAACTGCTCAAAAACTCATTTAGGATCCCCTTACAGTGGTCTGGGTATGGCATTTCCTCAACGTGTCGGTAATCTTCTATTTCATTGGGTTATCATCGCTGCAAGAACCATACAATCACATGTGTTAAGGAGAATGTTTGCGAGAAGAGGTTACGAGGTGTTTTCTGCATTGATTCTAAGAATATTTCTGTGTAAATTCGAAAAATCCAAAAATAACGCCTCTCTTCAGGTTGATGTGATTAAATCCGAAGCAGAAAGGATCATCTATGCTGGTCGTTCCGAATTTCTTTTCGATGTTGTTCGACCGATAAACAATCGTATCAAGCATTTTGGGAGTAATCAGCTGTAAGCAATGTTTATTTATGGTGCTAGTCACAACAGCAATTGGTGAAGTCTGTAGAGCGGTTGCACCGACGCCTATGAGTCGCGGGCAAGCGCTCCACACAGTATTTATGGCGTTAGTCACAACAGCAATCAGTGGAACTGTGGAGCGGTTGCACCGACGCCTATGAGTCGCGGGGCATGGGCACAGATTCTGGATACAGTACCATCGATTTTCTTTCGCAGTGTCAGGAAAAAATTAGTGAGAATAAATTAGAGTTGACAAAAAAGATTATGTTTTAGGAACCGGAGCGATTTTGTTACTGTAATCCCTGAAATGAGCTCGGATTCCGAGCGCATCGCCCAGTACAAAGACGACCAGCATCCTCGAGACAACATCAAACTTCTAAACGATACAGATCGCCCACCCCTTATACTGGCGGAGTGTTTGGATCCATCCGATTCCAAACCTATCGCCAGTGATAACATGTCTTCCTCACTCATGAGGAGGGCAAACCTATACCAAGGATTGAGGCAGCATATTGTAAAAATGAAATTCGCATCTATTTGTGCGCAATTTCCTGAACTAGATTGGCCTTCTCTGACCAAGGAGAAGTTTATTCTTGTCAGCTTTGGAAGTGTGGCACAGGTTCAATTTTCAGCAGATTACCGTATTCCAACTCTACTCGCATAATTTTTTTAGGCCCAGCACATGCCTTTGTATGTGGTCAGCAAGATCTTCCATGCGTTCGCTCAGTCTCCATACAAGATAGTCTGGCAAACAAACTCGCCCACTGATGCTCTTCTATGGACACGGAATGTAAGCGTACCTGAAAATGTTGTATTGACACCTTGGGCACCCATCAAGCAGATTCTAGGTTTGAGACATCTTAGGCCGTGAATATTAGGCTAATTTTGCTTATTACACTAACTTTGCAGCACATCCAAATCTACAGTATCTGATCTGTCATGGCGGAATCAACACAATCAATGAATTGCTGCTGTTTGGAGTTCCTGTAGTGGGAGTGCCACTCCAGGTATTACAGCTTTTCTTTTTTCTGTGGTTTGCGAGCAGCTCCATGCTTGGGTTGTTCTACCCAGAATAATTTCATGAACAAGCTGACATACTCGGCTCCGGCCTTCTCAATAGACTCTGATATCACCGTGTGCTTATTCTGGACTGTCCCTGTCCCACTGCTATATGCCAGGTCCCTACTGCACTATATTTGTTAAAAGCATCCTCATACACCCCCCCCCCCTAGCAAATTGCTCTGTAGCTTGAAGTTTGCAAAAAACTGTAAGATCGATAAACGCAGAAAGTATTTCTCCATAGTAATACTTCTGTTGTCACCATGCTCATTTACTCCCCTGTGCCATCATATCAAGCATCCTCTCTTAGCCTCCCTCCTGTACCAACTCTCAGCGTCCCAGCTGTAGCGGTTGTCCTTGGCTCTACCCTGAGGCGGAATAGCGCCTCTTGGAGTGCGATATGTAGAACACGAAAGCATTAAAGCTATATTGAGACAGGTGGCCTGCACATGGCGGTGCTGCGGTAGAATGTCAACGATTAGGCGTGGTGGAGTAACATAACAGAATATCACAGCAGGTCATGCTTATGGCATGACCTTGCGGTATCTCGGTGAGAGCAAAGATACGGTTGTAGGAAGGTGCCGACTGGCGGCACATTCGATCATCGGGAAGAATTTAGAGCATCAAAATGAGTAAAGTACAACATCATCTGTGCAGTAGAGACTTGTAATCACAGCAGGTCATGCTTATGCATGACCTTTACGCTCTTCTTGCAACAGTAGGTAGATATGCAAAGAGAGGTGCGATTTGTCGGCACATTCCGGCGGGGCATAAGGATGAAATCAGGAAAGAAAATAACGGATAAATAAGGATCTTCTTCCTTATCGCGTTTTCCATCTGTCAGGATCACGTAGTGGTCGCTGCCATAGTAATCGTTGGTGAGAAGCAGCAAAAAGCAGAATTGGCGATGCAACATTGATGGAGCGATAGAGAGATAAGCAACTGTAAAATGCGATTATGACGCGGTTTTTGAGAAACCCTTCTTCAGCGATAGAGTCTGCAGGATTTTGCGCACCAGTGTTTCCTTTGTCGTCGTCCTTGCATCCGTGAAGCTGCTTCACTGGGAGACCATTAGTTACATCGTTGCACTTGTAGGCTTGCAGCGATCTCGCTATCATGACTTCCATCGTCGGATGCTTTGCAATATTTGGTAAAGTACTATCGATGTCTTCTTCACTTGAATTCCTTTAAACGTCATCCTTACCTTTTTCGTCGTTGTCGTTGCCGTGCATTGTTGTATCGTTGCTCATTCCTGTGGGTGATACATCCAGCTCTGCATTTCTCATTATTGACTTTGCAGAATGCTTTGAGAGTGAAAATTCGCTGTCGTTGTTGTCCTCATCTTTCCTCTAAGCAAACTTTGCCTGTTTGAATTTTTATGCCTTGCGTTGGGAAACTTCCTACCGCTCCCTAATCTTGGTATCTACAGCATATAGCATAGCCATAGTTCTTGCAAGAGATATAGAAATCTTATAGCATCAAAAATGTTTTCGAAAATCTCATTTCTTCTTTCCATTCCCAACCCCATTCCCCCTTCATGATCTTTTTCGTAGCTTCTGATGCAGCCTTCTCTTACCTTTCCATTATATGTCATGCTCCACTTGTAACATTTTAATGACGTCATCGACTTCCATTTTGCACTTCGCTAGTGAATCCAGATGTCGAGTGCATAGATCTTGCCACTCTTGATTGCCATCTCGAATAATATTTGTCCCACGTCGCACGCGTACTTCCTCAGTTGTTCTGCAAGTTCCTTAGTGGACGATCTTAGTTACTTGAGGAAAGGAGCGAGATCCTCATTGGGTTATAGTCGTGCTGCTATTTGAGCAGGGCAAGCGTCTTATCTGGCCAATGCATCCAATGTATCACCCCGATTCGTTGGCTTTATACTAACCTGCGGCGAAATAATGCCTCCTGTAGTGCGTTATGTAGAGCACGAAAGCATTAAAACTCTATTGAGACAGACGATCTGTACATGCAGTTCATGCGCATGCATAACCTGCACGGTATTTCGATGAGAGTAAAGATACGGTGTTTAAAATGATGCCAACAATGGCGGCACAAGCTCAAAGTTTGCAGAATATCGCTAAATTCGATGGAGGTAGTTGACGGCGAAAAGTAGTGTGTTTGTGATCAGCATGCTCACTAACCTTTATGCTGACTCCTCCCAGCCTCGGGCAAAGCTTGCAAAAAATCAATATCGATATTGTTCCATACTGAAAATAGTGACACTCCCGTTCAAAGTATACCCTTTGATTTATTGGGAGTGGCGGCTGTGGGCGAGGCTGCTTGGGCTCCGCACCTCTTTCGTGAGCGTGCTTTCTAATCACTTTCCCATCACGATCATGGGAAAAAGGATTTCCAAACACTGAAAAGCATGATCGCGAAATAGGTGCAGATCCAGGCGAGGCGGACGTGCGGACGTGAGTCTGACCCAACAGCTGGCATCACTGATGAATTAAAGGATATGTGTACGCTGTCCGGATCGGCTTAGAAATGGAATTTTCTATTCGGAACATACGTAACACCCAGACATAAAGACAAAAAACATTCGCCTGCATTTATAGATTTCTGAAAAGTGCCGCTGAGACCAATACACCTTCTATTCATTTTAGGGTGACCAAGGCTCAAATCTCAGACGATTAACTGACTTAGGCGCTGCAGTTATGGTCACCACAGCGCAAATAGCTAAGGGCGAACTAGTTCGAACGATGAGAACTTTTGAATACAACCTGAACAAGTGAGACAATTCAATCATAATTTTTTTCTTATTACTACTAGCACAATCTCACATTCATTCACTACTATTGTTTAGGCATTGGCAGAGAGCAGCACAGCTATCATCTATGCTTGAGACATATCGAACACTACACAAAGATCAGCAACATTTTTGGATTGATTGGACGGGTCGTCACGGACGAAAGCTCCTTGATAGAAATTTGTTCAATATGCGATACATTGGAGACACAGAGAACAGTTTTTGGATGGCACTAACGGCGACTTTGTTTTTGTCTTTTCTAGTGGTTCTATGTTGATGTCACTACAACTTCGGGTTTTCGATCTCAGAACATCTTTCAAGAGTGTATAAAGATAACTTCCAAGACTTTCATAGCTACGAATAACGACTCGCGAAGTTAAAAGCTTGAAGAGAGTTCTATATGCGTCTGTGTGTATACTCTTATAAGGAATCGGGGAACCATGGTCCAATCCCGCCCGCGCTGAGCAAGCTCTCGACCATCTAAAGGCGATATATTAATACAGTAGCAATCATCAAAATGGAGACCGGACTTAGCAAGTTATTATAAAAGTTGACCATTTGATGGTCGAATATGCAGTTGAAAATGTTTATCATATCCGCAGTATAGAAGCACGGATTAACACATCTCGCACTAACAATGAGCTAGCTAACAGAAGAGCCTTTCTGCTAAATGGGTACCATAGGTGTGATCAGGATTCGAATAACCTGCTGATCATAGCTTAGTAGAAGCAAACCGAGATTGCGACGTTCACATCGCCTTATCGCCTATTCCACAAACTTTGTTAAAATTGCCATCGCATATGCCAAACGAGTCTAGTGGCATAGATTCACAAGTTCTTTGTTCAAAAATATAGACACATTAGACTACATAGAGGTGTAAACTGGCCTCGAAGCAGCCAAAAAAGCTTTTTGACGCGCGTGATGCACAGGTTCAAAACGTGATAATATCGAAATGTCTTCAAAAAATTTTCGTTTTCACTTACTCTAACAACACGTTATATTCTCGTTGCTCTCTGAAGAGATTTTGCAGCATCATTCCACGAAGCATGGGAACTCAGACAGTCGACGGCATACCTCCGGAGCAGAAATGGCAGAGCCGCGGGGTTTCCCCTGCGGGGATTTGCCACTCGTGCTCCGGAGCCCTCCCATTTTGTGCTTCGGAAACCTCCCATTTTGTGCTCCGGAGCCCTCCCATTTTGTGCCCGGAGGTGTCCCAAATCTGGCGACCTCCAGAGCGCAAATCTCTGCTCCGGGGTTCTCCCAAATCTGGCGTACCTCCGGAGCAGAGATTTGCGCGTCCCAGAGAGGGGTCCCACTCGCCTGCTTGTGACGTCACCGTGACCTACAAGAAGGAACCGCACCCTCGCCCCGCTCTCAGTGGTCAATTGGGTCCTCCGCAGCTCTGTCAGATTTCGACTGTCCTCCGGAGCTACGGCACCGATTGTCTGAGAAGCTTTACAAGATAGCACCTATATGTTTGCTCAAGGTTTGCTTTAAACTATAGAACTACCTATGTGGGAGCAGCTCAACTTTTGTTTATAGCCATGGATTAACACATTGACGACCGCGTGACACACATGGTGTGTCAAGGCTTGATTTTCATTGAAATGGCTACCATGTTGGCTACCACAATCACTTCAAGAGTTTTCTTCTGTGCTGGATCTATGTATAACCTTCACTGTTTTTGTCCTCAACGCTACTGTAGGTATGCCGTAGATGAGTTTATGCGTGATTTTTCATAAAAATGTTGAGTAGTCTGTGAAAGGTCTTGGTCGTCAATGTGTTGAATAAGAAAACGTTTATGTAAATGCCAAATTTGGAGATTATATGCTTGAGCAAGTAGGAAGCTATAGTAATGTTTTTGAGGAAATATGATACTTTCTTAGTTTTTTAGGCAATCAGATCCTCTTAGGTTTTGACTTTGAAGTTTTGTGAAACGAATTTCGAGCAAATCTTTGAGAGCTGTGTTGTAAAGCCTGCTTCGCTACGTCGTTTGCTACCGCGCAAACCTACTTGAGGAAGATTTTCCCAGATTCGAATCTCAAATTGTCTTAGCTCTTTACAGTTGCTTGCCTCGTGCAGCCACCACTAAGATAGTCATACGACTTATCCGATTGAAGTTTCCGGGTGATCGCCTTGGTCGAAACCGGTAAAGCAAAACATTCAGGTTCTATCTTTCAAACGGCTCATCATTTGCACTATATGGCATCAAAAGCTCAATAGTCTTTTGCCTGGGCCTAGTTTATAGTTTACCTTAGTCACCAAATGCTCTAATGACAACATCGCTTGCATGCATCTCGTGATAAATGAGATCCACACGAAGAGTGGATTAGATCAAAATTTATGCAAGCCCACAAGCTCAGTAGCGGCAAATACTCGTTGCATGTAGACCCTTCAAGGGCACCGCAGCCCAGCCACATGCCAACTCGTGTGCTAAGTCCTGAAAACGCGCTTCAAAAGCCCAACATTAACGCTCACTCGACAAAAATGAGCAGTGCTGATAGGCTTTCAAAGCATTTTCACTAACTCATCGCGAACTATATATCGTGGATGTCGACAGCGGTAAAGCTATGGCCCGTAGTAAAGCTCGGTCACGGGAGATGATCTCCCCTGAGGCCCTCATATGAGGCTTTGTCGGGTGAGATGAGGACTGTCCGCGTTTAGTGTAAGTATGCAAGGTCACCCTACAGGTTAGCTTCAGATGAAGCCCGGTAGGGAGATCAGCTCCCGACCGAGTCATCGGAGTTGAGCCAGGCGACGACATTAGGTGAATACTGTGCTAAAGAGGAGAGCACAGAGAAAACCTCCGTAAGTTGCTCCCTAGTAACTTACGAAACATCGCAGCCGACGTTCTTTTGCGGTGCAAATTTCCAAAACTGCACAATTTCGGGCGCCCACGTAAGTGAGGATCGATGAACAGCTGATTGCGCGGCGAAATGGAAAAAAAGGTTTTTTTGCATTTTTCTTGCAGTTGTTGCTCGTTTTTCTCAAAGAATCACTTCAGATAACAAGAAGATAAATTTACCTTTCTATTCATTTTTCGTTAAATGTATCTTTTCCTCGTATGATTGCCAAAATACTGTGTAATTGTTTTATCTTGTTATTTGCCAGGCGAAATCTCTGATAGCGGCTATCATCTTTTGACAGCGGCCGCTGTCAAAGATCGCCAGGCCAAGTAGCAAAAACGGTGTCGCTAGCCGCACCCGTACCACGGCACTCCCGCTTGAAATGCATTAGCCTTATCCACTTGACTATCAATGCACAAATGGCAAAAACGTTCCAATTTTGAAAACGCGAATGTCCAGTCAGTGATCTGCTCCAAATCAATCGCTCCCCTGGCAATGTGCTGAGGCGCGATGAGATCAACTCCGGTCCGGTTCAAGAGAGATGCCCTGATGGGGGTTTACTACGGGCCTATATGTCGCCAAACGACCGAAAGGAGGCGGTTGTCTGCAAAAAATTCGCATCCTTGAGCATAGAGATGTGTTATCTCAAGAAGTCCGCGCGGGACCACCCACATCCCTTGACATATGGCCCTCAACCTTCGATAACAACGCTTTGATATTTTGTCACTCCTTGTAATTTATTTATTTATACGGTCGTGAGCATTGGGCAAGGCAACAACGCGAAATTAGAATGGAAATCTTAAAAGAAATGGACAAAGGTTAGCTTTGTTCATATCTGCCATCGTCTGTGCCCTATCAAATAACCTACACCCACTATTCTTTCTGTCTTCATGAACTTTGCAGTTTTACAGCTTTTTTGATTTGCGTCACACATGCTCCTCAGACACAAACCAGACACAAGCACCTTGAACAGTTGCAAATAAAATTCCCTTACAAAATTGTGTAGTTATTTCAAGTGTCATAGACAATTTCTGAACAAAGAATGAGACCAATCTAGCATGCACTGCGAAATCAATGCGTGCAATTTTTATTCCGACGATGAGACTAGAAAACTTGAGTTACACTTTGCGCACATCTATGACAAATTTGATCTTTCGATTGATAAGTTAATACTCGTGGTCTATTTCATCCAAGATTGTTTATTACTTGGAAACAGAGGATAACAAGCTCAGGTTTGTCTAGACGATGTGTGCACACCGTTCTTGAGTTTTTTACTTGGCAGAGATGATACCCACAGTCTGTCAATATATAGCGCCCTTGCGGTGCCGAGATTTGCGGTAAAATTTGGGTGCGAAGAATCTCTGCGTTTCATGCGTACGTCGATGTTAACCACTCAGATAATCACTGGAGGCAGACGGCCATGCGATTTATGGGCAAGCGGGCACCTGAAAAATAGCCCGCGAATTTTTGCGATCCGCTTGCAGATATTTGGAAGAATTCCGGCAAAACTTCAGACGAAGGCTCGGAGAACAACTGCGGCTTTTCCATAGATTAGTTGCGGCGCAGTAGCCGCATTCTCGCAGGCCTTCCGCGAGAATATGCAAATTTATTGAGGGCCGCACGGTCCTTTGTGTAGGACCGCACAGCTCGTAGGTACCTTTCGCTGAGAGAGAGTACCCCAAACTCAGGTAATCAAACCATCGATGACAACTCTGCCATATAGAGTCTTACTTTTGCACGCCCGAAACTGCGTAAAAAGAGTCCGAGCGTCGTTAAAATTGTGCCCAGCGCTTGTTGAACGAAATTTTGACGAGCGCCCGCAGAAAATTCTGTATTGCTGACCGCTGGCAGAACATGCAACAGTAAAGGAATACCCCCGGCTGAAGGTTTGGCCACGCCCCAAAGTCTCAGACAATAGCCGGGGGCAAGCGGGCATCGGAAAAATAGATTGCTGATCTCTCGCACCCCGCTCGCGGATTTTTTGGAAATTAATCAGGACTTTTCGGAAGACCGCTTGCTGAGTTCTCGATTTCTCAGAGATTCAGCAATATATCTGCAAAAAATAAGAGCGAAAAAAATTCAACAGGCGGTCTCTCAAAAATCCGCTGACTCAGCAAGCGGTCTTCCGAAAAGTTCTGATTGCTTTCCAAGAAATCCGCGAGCGGGGTGCGAGAAATCGGCAATCTATTTTTCCGGTGCCCGCCTGCCCCCAGCGATTGTCTGAGGTAGTGCTGACCGCCTGCAGAAAAGCGCGAGTTTGCGGTCCGCCTGCCTCCGGCGATTATCTGAGTATATGTCCAAGCACAAAGAAATCTCGCGACCGCTGGGCACTCTTTTTACCGACGAATTTACTCTACTGCAGTCAATAGGTTTAGTTTCATTAATCATTGATGATCGGTGCTGCGAGACACTTACCCATAATGATTGTACCGTATGAGTCAGCTATGAAAAATTGATGTAGCTGATCGAAACATAAAATCTTCAAGTCTGTTGTTGACGTATCTAGTTTTTGCTTCCTTGTTTACTACGCTTCGCGAAATGTAGTGAACAAACCATAGTCTGTTTCATGTATAGGAAGGAATTATAGACCAGAGAAAAGATAAAGTACCATTTCGAAGATATATACCAGCACTTACTGAAGTTTTTCCAGAACAAGAAATAGGAAGATAAGGTGAGCATCTATCAAGTCTCATAAGATTTCCACTTTTGGAGAAGTGTTGGACAACCTTCTGCTGTTTACTACGACGTGTGCACGCCCTTCTCTCTGGATTCCAAACCTGCTAAGACATCGATTTCATAGTGATGAGATGAACAGGTAATTTCGCTAAACGTTCTTCTTTTCTTATTTTTTCTTTGTTAACGTAGGCAGCCATACCGTGTGAAAATCATCAGACTCAAAATCTCTTTGTTTCTTGTCTGCAGTCGCTTCTTAATTGTTTGCTATGCTTCCAAGTGAGCGACACATAAGTTCGTAGTTCACCGCCAAAGTTTTAATCAATGATAATGTCACATTAACAAGAAAATGTCTGTCTAAATTTGACTTGAGCATCGTCCACTTTCTCTTTTTCTTGCTTCCTGCCTTAAATGATTACTTTAGAAGTTTGAAAGTCACCACTGGTACTTAACTACCTTAGCAAGGCTGCAACACAACCATGTTTTACAGGCAGTGAATGAAACCAGATAATGGCACATTCCTTCTCCTAAAAAGCTCTAGAACTTTGGGATGGGTTCAAGCTAGCATAAAAATAGTGCCTCGTCTTCATCCACATCATAACCATCTTCAAAACAGAACGTGGCATCATAAGCGCCATAAAATACATAAGTGCATAATACAAGGGGCAATAGTAACCTCCATGGACGTGACGTACGAGGTCGCAACCTAAGTTAGAGCTCAGCTTCATTCCGCAAACCATTTTGCCGGCTGTCATTATATCACTAGTATATCGCAAGTTGACACATCACGTCTTAAGTCTCTGTGATGATGCAGCATGATGCAGTTTGTGTTATTCCTTTATTTAATACTTATTTGTATTCTGCCTCAAAAAGAGGAAATTTTCTAATCAAAGCATATACACCTACATGGATAAAGATGAATATTTTCATGAGATGAGGACCTAAGCTTAACTCAACATACTCAAGTGATCATAGAAGTGGATAGTTGCCGCTGGACCTATTGTACTCGTTTGGAAATGATTATCAAAGTACTCAAACTTGAAACCAGTTTCTACTTGCAGACTAGATCGTTTGTAAAATAAAACTGTCTGCAGGACGTAAAATTATTCGTGGTATTTATGTCTTTGGATCGAGCGAAAAATCTCTCGTTCCTTGAGTGAACCTATCCAGAACTGTTACATTTTTGGATATTATACAGAGCTGATTATGTCGTTACTAAAATGATTAAAATGAAATCCAAGTTTTGCATCCATTGTTTCCACTTTGGATTCATTCACGCTCACATTACTATCATTATTTTTTCTGACATTTTATACAAAACAGAAAATATTATCTTTGATTTGATCAGTTTGCAAGCCTAGATGATCGGTGCCGAAAGGTGTCGAACAAAATTAAGACTGGCTTATCTTCATTACCATCATTCCATGCCTCCGACAGACATTGCACTTGCAGATCAAAATATGAATTTGATGAAGTAAAAAGCTATCTATCATCATGTTAAATTCACATCGTTTCTGTCCAAACATTGCCCTCTGCATTTAGGGCGCCACCCAACCCGACTTGTTCCTTCTGAACTGCTCCTTGCACTTTTCTCAACATTAAACCAGCTGTGTCGACCCCCTATCACTAATCGCTGTTACGCATGTTGTTCTTTTTACTTCTCACTTCAATTCGTCCACTAGTGGCTCTCGATGTCACATTAATACCTTTAAATGGAGTGCCCAGTCACGATGTGATGATGAAAGATGTTGGGATGGGGATGCCTCACGGAACCAACATAACATGGATCCAAACGTATCTCTACGATTTTGGCTCTGGCGAGATTAAATTGCCTTCAGAGTGGACGAGAATCAGTTACTGGGGACATGACGAAGAAGGTAAACATTGTCGTTCAAATCTTCATTTTCGCCATTTATCATTATGAATAACATGGCAACAAGAACCAGTCCGCGCAATAAACGATGATTAACTTTATTTGATCGCATGGAGGAATGTTTGGCAAATACACCATGTTTGAACCTTACAAGAAAACCAGATTAGCTTTTCCCAGAAAAATCTGTTATAATAATGAAAAATAAAGGAATACGTTCAAATGACGTTACGATACTTAAGCATGCCACATGTAATGCAAAAAAAGGAATTCCAAGACAAGATGGCGTATTTTTAGGGATTGAAATAGTACGAAGTGGAGGTGCCTTGCTGTGGGAGATGTACCAACCAACCGATTTTGCCCGACCTTGGGATCTACGAGGACCACGCAGTGTTACAAAGTATTAACTATCGCGAACACATTGAAACATAGAATTCTTTTATGACAATGTAATTTTGTTTCAGAATTCTTATACGAGATCAAGAATCTTGTGAAAGGTTTTTGGAAGATCGGCGGTTTCTTCAGTATCTGAACGAGAGGAAGACTGACTTGATTGTTTTCGACAGCCTGCTGCAGGTATATATTAGGTCATTCCGAAAGTAATTTCGCTTTTTTCAAACGGGCGCCACATTTGATAGAACAAAGGTTTTTGAGAGGTCTTGGATGCATTCGATGCATAATTTCATTCTCTTTCTAACGGTTATAAAAGTGTTGCAAAACAGTCAATGAGCTTTCAGAAGTAACCAAAATTTGCGACCCATGCTTTTTGAGATGGTCAAGTTTCACGATTTTTTAAAACTTTCATATCATTCCTCAGAAGGAGTTCAAATAACGATTCGATAGGGTGAACCTTATAGAATACAGTATTGTTTTTTCTCCTTTCCACATCTTGTCATACATTTTTAACAGAATTTTAACTGATGCTACCGATTTCCATACTTGGGCAGCTAAATCCTCGTAGAACATCAAAAGAAGAGCAGCTCGTGCACTATTCAATGCAGCAATTTCTCCTCTTTCTAACGGGTGTTTTTTGTTTCCGATTCGTTTAGTTTCCGGGGATAAAATCATCATAACTCATTTTTTTAGCGAGCCCCAGGTTGTACCCGAAAAACTCGAAACTTGATATTTCGAACCCGTAAATCCTCATTTGCTTTGTAAAATCAATGCTAACTCATAATACCATCTTGGTAGTCTCAAATTCCGAATAATTACGATGTTTGATGCGATTGTGGCCGATGTGAGCCTGCCAAAATCCGATGGTTTTGTTAAAAAATCTTTTAAAAAATTACAGCGAGCAAAGAGAAGGAGAAAAAAGAAGTGCTTTATTTTATAAGGTTTACTCTATCAAATCGTTACTTGAACTCCTTCTGAGGATTGATATGAAAGTTTTAAAAAAACGTGAAACTTGACCATCTCAAAAAGCATGGGTCGCAAATTTTGGTTATTTTCTGAAAGCTCATTGAATGTTTTGCAACACTTTCATAACCATTAGAAAGAGAATGAAATTATGCATCGAATGCATCCAAGATCTTTCAGAAACCTTTGTTCTGTCAAATGTGGCGCCCGTTTGAAAAAAGCGAAATTACTTTCGGAATGCCTAATATAATTGAATTTGGTCTTGCCTATATTCAAATCAAACAACCACAATCCAACAAAATCACCTTTTCTTTAATTTGTGAAAAACGCTTCAAGAGTTTACAAGTTTCAGAGCAAATCAGCTCAGATACTACACACATTACACCACCGCCTTTGTCGAATTGTTAGGAGGCCAACTGAGACCTTAACACAACCACCACCCACACCTTCACAATCCATCATATTTTTTTCTTTGAAAACATCAAAGTAGCTCTCATGCACTCGCACACCTTCAATTTTTGAATTTTTCTTCAGTATCTTAAAAATAGAAGGTTGGCGCTTCATAATAAATATTTAAGCTAAACATTATGTAAGTTTTGTAAGTTAATCACCGAGAACGAAGCTTCCAAAAATAGCGATTCAAATTGTGCGGTTAATGCTAGAAAATCGCGGAGGGCTGCTAGCTAGCCCAAAAAAATTTGTGAAAATTCCCTAACACCAAAGTCCACATGTTACTTTGGCAGGCTGTAATCTCGTTTGGAAATGCTAAAACAAAAAAATTCTTGAAAGATGCGTTTTACAGGAAAAATTTCCTTATCACAGTACCTGTTCCAGCAATAACACTGTTTTACGCTCCAAATTTCCAATCCAAAATTCTAGATTCTCTAGAATTCTTTCGGCCATTATGTTTCTTGCTTCGTCTGTACGATTGGCTTGTTAGTGTGGGACTGGGCTTCGTCTTACTTTCAGTGTATCTCCGTAATCTTCTCTGTCTACTAAGTCTGAGGTTTGGCTGCTTTCTTTATTTTATTTCTTAAAGTTTTTGTCTTCTCTACGGCACACCTTAAGTGTACTCATAAATAAATAAAAAAATAAATAAAAAACGTGTTTTTTTATCCAAATTGTGAAAATGTGTGAAAAAAAACTACAGCTATACGGGGATTCTTCTTGTAAGACATTTTTCAAAAAAAAATTTTTCACATTTCTGAACGAAGTTGAACTGCCAAAGTAACATATGAACTATTGGTGTAGAGAGTTTTTACAGATTTTCTTGAACCAATTAGCGGCCCCCGTGACTTTCTAGCATCAACTCAAATCTGCAAAATTTGAATCGCCATATTCAAAAGCTTCGTTCTCGGTGACTAACTTATAGAATGTTTGGCTTAAACATTTATCATGAAGCGCAAACCTCCTTCCTCTATTTTTAAGATACTGAGCTATCAATTTAACTTACCCTTCGAAGAGTTATTGAAAAGTTATTGAATTTTGTTTGAATTACGCAAGAACTTTCGCGCCAACCTGACTTTATACAAAATGATGAAATAGAAAACCAATCAGAGATAAATATAACTACACTAAAGGGCTTATATCCTTACGAACTGGCTATGTTGCATTACCACCCCCAAAGATGTACACAAAAGGCTTTTTCTCGGTGTTTTGACTACAAAATTGAAGGAGATCTTTCTTTCAGAATCTTTCCAAGTAAACAAGATTCAGTCAGTTGCACAACACATGAAAATTAAAGCAAGTGTAAGGGAGCCTCCAGACCGCGCCGGTTGCCACTAATGCAGCGGTTAGTCGCATTCGCGCAAGTTCCGCTTTTACAGCCGGAACGCATTGGGTCAGACTTCCTTCGTAGGGTACGTAGTGCGGACATATTCGCAGTAGTGAAAAAAACTTTTGTACTCTTTTTGAAAAAAAGCTACTACACTATGCTGTATGAAGGATATTCTACAGGCCAAAATCTCTTCTGTGCACTTAAGGTTTTTAACTCTTTGATTCTATCACCTTTGCAAAACGGATTCTATCATCTAGTTTTCGTGAATTGGCTGTTCTCTTTGCTGAGTGTACAATGGACGAGCCCCAAGACGAAAAAGACACCAAAATGACTTTGCTTTTGGAATAAATCGTTCATTCAACATAATAAAGTGGAACCAAAGACAAGTACATCCACAGCGACATCGCTCCTACAACATAGTAAAAGAGCTTTAGAAAAAGGTCATTTATAAAATCATGACGATATTCGCGCCATCATCACGATTATATGAAATAAAGAAAGTAGGAAAAACATCGTTTCGAAACGATATTGCTCACCCAGCATAGCGATATGGTCAGAATGAAATCTAGACGGTAGTACAGTAAAGTTTCAAAAACCTCGTTTTTAACGAAACCGGCCAGTTAGCAGAAGGAGTGAACTAGAAATGACTAGTTAGAAACTCCATTTAACATCATTTGCTTTTTAGCATAAACGAATACCTTAGTGGGAGAAGGAAATCTCCTTCGGACAACTATCCAATCGCTCAGCATCGAAGAACAGCGAAGGTACAGAAGCCGGATCAAAACCACATTAGCAACAGAACTGTTACCAATACATAGAAGAAATTAGAACAAAAGAATAGCAAGAAAAAACAAAATCCCTGTGAATACCACTAGTGTAAATAAGCCCCCGCTATGTGCCCCGCGGACAGCGCGGACAAGATCTGATCCACTGCGCTTCGGCGGCAAAGGCGACAACCGACGCGAAAGCGGCTATCGGCTGCAATGGCGGCAACCAGCGCGGTCTGAAGACTCCCTGATGGTGGTGAATCTTTTTGAGGGAATCTAAAGAAGAAACCTTGTGTTGTGAACGGCGCGAATAGGTTGTACATGGCACTAAGCAATTCAAACGCACGATCAGGTGTGCCTAAAGACAGTGGTTCGGCAAAACCGAACATCTTGGAATTTTGATATGGTAGCTTGCTTGCGCCTTAAATATGAAAATCGAGCAAGTCCGAGCGCGTAGCATGCTGCCCCTGCCAAGAATACTGCTCGCAAACCCGTGCGCGCAAGCCATTCTTATACGCGCTTGGACGGGCTCGAGCTTCTTCACGCGTCGGAGCCGATGTGCGCGAAGCTATAACCATAGGGGTTCCGCAACTACTCTGCGTCTCCGACCATGACGAAACTTCCAGCGTCCAAATACAGAAGGAAAGGTCTTGGAAAATGCTGGTTCTCACCATTTTCGTGCACTATAAGGCAAAATTTTGGAATCACCGTGTTCGATTACTCCAGCTAAGCAAGAAAATTCTACGTCGAGTATTTGCCGAGGATTGCCTTCAACGATGCTCATAGCACTTAGCATTCACTTACTTGGCATGCCTGTACTGCTTTGTATAAAATGTCTTAAGGAAAAGTGTAGGCATCTTTAACTAGCTGCGGTCCCCGGTCCCGTCCGGGCCAAGGATCCACAGTGGCCCGTCTGCTTCAAGATGTTTGCATCTATTCCTCCACTTCCTCCAGATCATATTTTCTATTCCTCTCCTGCTTCAGCTCCAAGTCAGTTCCAGCACACGTGCATTATCCGTGGTGAATTGGTCCTTCTTGACCGGCTCGCTTCGTGACACCACATCCTCCTTACCGCAAAATGTAAATGATTTCTACCGCCCCCTACTACTTAACTTGGAAAAATGAATGATACAGCTTTCATTTTCCTAGATGTTAATAAACAAATCAATAAATCGATAGAAGGACCAGTGAATCGTCGCAAAAAGTAGCCTATCTTCTGCGCCTGGCCTTATTTATAGGGGAGCAAATTTCAGCCTCATCGGTTCACAAACAAAGGAGTCTATAAGCCACATACTTACATACGAACAAATTTACAGAGATTGAGTTTTATTTATATATAGATTGTCATGATCCCAGATCAAATGACCTTACTGAGAAGCTTGCTACCTTTATGTGTTTGTAGATAAAAGTTGTTGGGTTTTTAGAAACAAACAAAATGGATTGTTTTGTAAGCTCTAAACCATGTTCATAAGCTTTAGCAGCATGTGCACAACAAAAGCATTCTGTAAAATACTTTTATGCAGACATACAATGAATCAGTGTCTATGAACTGGCTAAAACTTCAAGGATAAGTAGTAGATAGATTAAGAAATTACGGCAGTGCACCATTCTAGGAGTGTTTGGGATCGGCCGTTTCTCTTCTGGACGCTCCCACAATACAATATTCGAATTGGCCTATTGCAGATGGTTACATCACCTCCTTGAATATACCGGCTAATCCTAGTGCCATTCCCAAAACAGGTAATTTTGTTTAATTTGCTTTTATTTGAATGAATGAAGCGAACCCGTACTCACTTAACACTACGAACTTCAACCTTAATAGTTAATCTCAACAGTAGCCTTCAAGTCAGTACCTGGGAAGACGGTCTTTCCGCACGGGCGGTACCTATCGCTACCCTGATTTTGACTTGTCTTAACACGTCACACACGCCGCAACTCTTTCCTAGGCAAAAGCCGCCGCAGGGTGTGTCGCGCGCGACGGTAGTACTGCGCGGAAAGCATTACGGTAGTGCGAAAAGCCCTACACCCCAGTACCTGCCTTATCTTGATATAATAGATCTACGAAACGGACAGTTCCGAGTGGTTCACACCACAACATGCGGGCTGAGCTCATCGCTATAATGAGTTCACAAAAACAGTCATAATTCTTACCTATTAATAAAAGATTGGGGAACATACAAGCAAAGCAATAAAAACCTTAATGGCGATTTTCAGCTATGAAATAAGCTTGCATGATGTCGTCGCGCATGCACTGCACAAGGCTACTGCCCTTACACTGTCAGTACTTAAATCTAGGCACCCAGCCATACTTACCCACTTCATCTACTTCATTAAATGTCGTCTAGTATGGCGTCTACGGTTTCGGAGAATCATGACTTATAATAAAGTGCTAAGCGTCTGCCTCTTTGTGCGTGTGTGTATGTCTATCTGTCATGAATTTCATAGAGGGAGCCGTAGCCAAGCTATCGAGCTACCTTTTTGCATAACATACCATACCAGCATGTAGGTACATCAAGCACAAGGACGAGCCGGTTCGATAAGTGGGTCCTTCGAAATCTGAGCGTCAAACGGCTCCACGCGGCTTTTGGCGCGCAAAACTAAGTGGCTGATTCGACTTTTTGCAAAGTCATGGTCTGCCTGATAAGGAAATATGCGCCCCATAAATTCTAGCCCAAAAAGTACTTGAAAAGTTTGTTTTTTGTGGGAAAACAGCGCCAAAAAGTGGTGATCGCGTAGATAGTCAATTTGGCAAGGTGGTACCCTAAAAAATTGAAACGATTTTTGCACGGAACTATAGCTTAAGAGACTATTATCCCTATGACGATTTTCAAGCCAGATGCGTTCCTTTGCGAAGAAGTTTTTTTTCTCAAATTTACCGATCTTACATGGAGATGATTCAAAAATGAACAGTTGTTTACGATTCATTTGTGATCTTCAGCATAGCTTTGTGAGTTTCAAAGTCATCATTATGCGAACATGAGAAAGGTGCTCAACTATGTGTTAGCTCCAAAATAAAAGCCCTGAGGAGTCTTTGCATCCATTAATTCTCAAGTAATATAAAGTAACTAGTTGGCTTCCCCCGGTCCAGCCCGGGCCTTGTTCCGTTCACCTGCACTGCAAGCCCCCCCCCCATATATTATGGATGCCTTACCCTGGGACATCCGCTTCAAACCGCATCCTCGTGATCCTGTGGTGAAAATGACCGCCTTCACCGCCCTCCTTTCACGATTATGGGAAAATGCTTGATTCAACATGATAAACCTTTAGTTCCTTAGAAAGGCGTAAACAAATTAATAAATCCATAGAAGGACCCAACGAATCGCCGCAAAAAGTAGCCTATCATCTGCGCAGGGGTCGAAAACGTGTGTGTGCAAAGTTTCAGCGGAATCGGTTGAGCGGTGCGCGTTTCTATAGCGCACTAGCCTCCAAACTCACAATTTTGAGTTTTATATATATATATAGATAAGAATAAACTAGCCGTCTGATTGAAAGAAACATCAAAATTCAATTTTCTAACTTTTCCAGCAACTCCCTACAGTGGTTTGGGAATGACATTTTATCAAAGGATTATCAATCTCTTGTTTCACTGGAATATCATCATTGCTCGATATATGCAGCAGTCCTGGAATGATGACAGTTTCACAAGAAAAAATCTCCCTAAGGTTACTAACCTGTATCGAGTGCAACAAAACCATACATCCTTCATTTAGGTTGATTTATTTGCAGCTGAAGCAAAAAGGATAATTTACGCTGGGAGATCGGAATTCTTATTCGATGTCGTTCGACCGATCAACAATCGCGTGAAGCACTTTGCAAGCAATATCTTGTTGTTAGTTTTGAAACGATTTTATCCTGCATTTCGGAACAAGCTGTAGTTTAAAATAACTACTTCAGGAAACCTGGCGACTTTGTCACTGTGATCCCAGACATTTCGGAACAACCAAACATTTCAATGTGTGACGAAGCGAAGCGCAGCCATAACGCTATAAGATTCAACCACTCGTCTTTGCAATCTGAGCAGCAAGTCTACTGTTGCCACAGGCGTACACGGCATAGATCAAATACTATACGACGTCCAGAACTCTATAATGGACTAAACAGAACCTCAGTAAATCAACGATTCAAGGAGATAGCTACAAACTATCCCATTCTTCAATGGCATTCCCTCGTCAACGAAAAGTTTATTCTAGTAAGCTTTGGCTCCCTTGCCCAGGTACATAAGATTAGCCATTCACTTTCCCTTCTGCTCATGCATTCTTTTAGGCTCAGTACATGTCAAATGAGATTGCTCGCAAACTCATCTATGCCTTCTCGCAATCCCCTTTCAAAGTCATTTGGGCAACAAATTCTTACCCTGAACAGCTAACATGGACCAAGAATATGACAATACCTAAAAACATAGTGCTAATCCGTTGGGCACCATTGAAAGAAATGTTAGGTAATTAACGTAGAGTAAGATTTTTTGGTCCTCATATTATCTTACAGCTCACCCCAACCTGCAGTATCTTATCAGCCATGGAGGAATTAACACCGTAAACGAACTGCTTCTATTTGGAGTTCCCATGATTGGAGTTTATCTACAAGTGGGTAGAAGAATGGTTACATGCTTGATATAATCACGAGATGTACTGATGACGTTGTCGTTTACAGGGAGACCAAGGCTCCAATGTCAGACGCCTTGCCGATCTTGGCGTCTGTAAGACAATTTCTATGCTTAGAATATGGCAAGATGAGCTACCAATTGTCATGAGAGAGTTCGAGCAAGACTTGGAAAGGTAGGGGTCATTCGGTTTTCAGCTTAAAACATTTTTCAAAAAAACATACATAACTCTGACATTTAGTTACTGGAACAGGGCACGCCAGCTTTCCTCAATGACTGAGACTTATCATAAATTACATGCTAGTGAACAAAACTTTTGGATTGGTTGGAGTATACGTCATGGACATGAACTCTACAACAGAACTTTGTTCAGAATGGAATACATTGGTGATACTGAAAACTTGTTCTGGTTTAGCATTGCTGTAATCCTAAGTACGCTTTTTTCCCTGCTTCTCATGTAAAGTGCAATGTAGCCTTACATCACGTTGATCTCACTTTCTATCTTGCATCACGCGGCTATTAACAATAAAAATGATGACGAGCAAATCTCGCCAGCCTTGTTTTTGTTAAGAGCACAGCAGTCACAGTTTAATATTAGGGAGCAAACCTCTTCAGCATTATTTTTGTTAACAGCACAACAGGTCACAGTTTAGTACTAGGGAGACGTTTATTACAAGGGTCCCAAAATGTCCCTACTTTTTATGCTGATATTTCTCGTTGCGATACTGTCTCGAATTTCGAGTGTATTTTGTAAAAAAAAAGCACATTTTATGAGGCAAATCATCTTAGCTGTGTAGGATGAAGGTAGAAACTTGCATTATAGTATAAAACATCTGTAATTGTTCGTAGGGGGCTTCTGGAGTCAGTGACCTAGCAGATAACTTCGTAACAATTTGTAAGTTTTGATAATATATTTTGACGAATCTTGGGGAAAATAGCAACCTTAGTCCGATGAATAACAGATTGTTTATTCTTTCTGGGATAGTTGGGCAAACATTGTTTTCAATGGTGCACAATCGTTTTGTTCTAGCGTAATCCCTTAGTGTTGAAGAGAATCGAAATAGAAGCCATGTCGGCGCTTTGAGGCAGTGGCTCGGCAACTAATTTAGCTTGATTTTATGGGACCTACTTAGGGGACCTCGTTATTGGGCCATTGACCAGGTCCAATCCAATAAGGCCTTTTCCACTTCAAAAAAGAGACTTCGGTGCGCGGAGGTGATTCGGTTCGCGCCTGATGACTGCCGATTCCAACACGTTTTAGGTCTTTCAAGTCGTCTTCCTTCTGACGAGTCTGAATTTTATAAAGCTGATCTAGAAGAGTACGGCTTGTCCGTATCGCTTATTCGGGCCTTCAAAAAGGGGTTTTAAAATTCTTATAAGTAAAGTAACAGCAAGTTGAACAAGGCAAAGCCAATGCCTTTTTATTTCTCAAAAAAACTTCCGGGTCTGGGTGTGTTGGCTTAGACCGCTTGCCGTTGTTCTTGAGCACCACGACTTCTTTACGGTTTATTGCGTCGAATAACACAGTACAAAATAAATGAGGCGAGAATATGTGATGCTGAGGTTACTAAGCGATAACGGAAAGACGATACTTTTGACGAGGCGAGTCGCGGTCGCTGCCTGGATGGAAGTGAAGTTAACAAAGCAGACCCTCCAACCGCAAACGTGTTAACTTTGCAGCTGTGTCTTCGCGCAGCTGCGAGTTGCGCAGCTGCGCATTCTTTTCATGTCTTCTGGTGACTTGCGATCAGAATACAGATCGCGATTCCGCGATATTCCCGCCAGGCAGATACATGAAGCGTAGCATGATTAATAGAGGTTATGATGTGAGGAATATGCTTCTTGCGCGCTTGGTGGGTAGACCCAGTGGCGTCGAGTGCAGAGCTGCCTTTCGATGGCGGTCCTCCTTTCGCGATTTTTCTCTAGCTCCGATCGTGCTCTGCGTAGCTGATCCGCAATATCCTCGCTGCGCTCCGGCAGCTCACAAATTGCTCCGAATGGCTGTGGCGCGGCAGTGGTAGCATTTTACGGCATACTTGGAGCAATACTTGTCTTCCGTGCAGCTGGTGTGTAAGCACATTACGCATCGGTGTTCCACCCTTCGCAGGTCGCGGCGCGTGGAGGCAGTCCAAACTACCTGGCAAAAATCTGAGTAGTGGTGTCCCACACGCTTGCAAAAAACACATTGAATACTCTTCTCCTCTTGGCGCGGGATAAATCCATGCGTGAATCGTCTCGCTGGGCACACTTTTCTGTCTGCCAGGTCCTGGATCAGCTGCTTGAAGTTGCGTTCCGCTTCCATCAACTGCTCCAATTCTTCTGTGAGTTGCTGGTGACGCCCTTCGTCCTCTATGCGGTCACGATTTCGAAGCGCTCGGGCTTTTGGTTCATCATCCTTCTTCGAGGTCTTAGGGTCTTGCTCGGCTATTTCGCCCTCTTCTTAATCCAATGCATTGCCATCGGTTGGGAGCTCCTCTTGCAGGTGGAGTTCCTCTTCACGCAATTCGTTTTCGTCCTGTTCTTCTGCGTTTGGCGCGTCGTCTTGCAATTGAACGTCTTCTTCTACGAGGTCGCTATCATCCCCGTCAACATTTTCTTCTTCCAATTCGCGTTCCGGTTGGATCTCTGCAGTCGGCCCTTCTTCCAAGCTGACCTCCTTCTCGGCGTCGGTCTCTCGTCTCGCCGCCGTCTCTTGCGACTGCGACATCTGCGCCAGTGACTGCCATTCATTCATCTTGGTGATCATCGTAGCTAATGCTGCGTCCAAGATGCTTTTCAGCTGCATTGCCGTACCAGCTTGCGTGTCGAGTTGCTTCAGGTTTTCCGCCATTTCCTTCAGTGTGGTAGCCATAACCAACAGGTGGCTTTCGATTACTTCCATCTTCTTCGCCGTTAAAAGTGGGTATAGGAATAGCCGGAAGTGTTGGCCTCGCCATTTCAACCTGTGCGGTGTTCCAGGATTGTGGTCTTTGCGTCTGGGAGTCGTAAGTATCTGCGCTCAGCAGCTATCCCATTTCGCGCTTCAAGTTGTATTATAAGCGTTTCCGCGCGGTCGATTACCACCTGAGTTTTGTCCATGTACTCCGCTGCTTGCGCCTCTTGTTTTTCGGTTAATGAATCACCAAGCGCGTCTACCGTTTTCACAAAACTATCAAGTTGCTTCAAAACAGTCTAGAAGTTCCCTTTAGCTGCGCCAGATTAAGTGGTACTCGTTGGAAAATTTCCTCTGTAAATGGTTCGGCATCATGCAAAGAAATGTCCTCCTCATACTGCGATATCACCTCCTTCACATTATTGGAAAAGCGAGTCAAAAGAGCCTTATGGGATCGCAACGCGAAAGGTCCCGCCATTACACAGACAGTGCGATAATATGCTCGGAAATAAACAACGTGGAGTCCAGATATTCGTTACGAGTAGACACGAATTATTCACTAATCACCGCGTTGAGAGTGGTCAGGCAAACGTCGCGGTGGAAAATTCCTCTAGTTGTTCAAGCAAAGCCAATATGCATGCAGTGCGTTCAGCAAACAAATCGTACCTCTTTCCTTTTTAGTCGATGCACCATGTGTTGGCTCTGACCACTTGCCGTTCTTCTTGACCACCACGACTTCTTTACGATTTATTGCGTCGAATAACACAGTACAAAATAAATGAGGCGAGAATATGTGATGTTGAGGTTACTTGGCGATAACGGGAAGACAATACTTCTGACGAGGCGAGTCGCGGTCGCTGTCTGGATGGAAGTGAAGTTAACAAAACAGCCCTTTGCCCTCCAGCCGCAAACGTGTTAACTTTGCAGCTGTGTCTTCGCGCAGCTGCGAGTTGCGCAGCTGCGCATTCTTTTCATGTCTTCTGATGACTTGCGATCAGAAGACAGATCGCGATTCCGCGATACTGGGCTAGGTAACTTAAAGGCAGTGTCCGGGCAAGATGGGGGTTTTGGGATTTCAGTGCCATGCGAGAGTGGCCCCGCTCAGACACAACATCGCGCAGGTGCAACGTCATAACGCTCGACCTAAAACAAGAAAAACGATCGTAAAGTGGGGAAATTTACGCCTTGGAGCGGGGTCCCCCGACCTGCCCGAATTCCTGCTATGCGGCAGAGTACGCATGCCGCCACAGTCAAAATGTAGGGTCCGCAGCGACTCTGCGTCTTTGCCTTGGTGGGGTCGTCGAATTTCAAATTGTGCGGCTTTGGAAAACGTATGTTCTCGCCGTTTTCGCGCCTTCTAATGTGGATTTTTGGATTCAGTGTTGCGTATAACCCCGGCAAGTGGGTTTTCTAGAAGTCGAGTTTTTGCCAGGACACTGCCTCTAATGAGTGCCTCTTTGTTTTTTTTTTCGTTTGATTATGTTCTAAGTGCGTTGATGTTCTAAATGTGGCACACCTTGTGCGTTCGAATAATTAAATAAAGTCAACCGAATAATGAACTTACTAATTTCAGTGTATTCACCATTGTCTAATGGGTTCCTATTTGACTATTGACCGCTCACATGGCATCCTTCGTGGGATTCTGTTTTAAGGAAAAAAGAATTTTTAATCGAACAGCAAAACTATGACACTTACTACATCTCAGTTATTTTGCTGCGTGGTTTTATTGTACATGATCCACAAGGGGAGTTTCATCTATAGGTATTGCAAAGCTGAAATCCATCTCCAAATCTTGAAATCTTAACCACTGCAATGAAATTTAGTTGTTGTCTTATTCTATATCGGTAAACCACTGGATTCCGTTGTTGCGAGAGGAGCCTTTGAAGGCGAGCGAATTTTTCAGAAGCTCCCTCCGATGAGCTTTTGCTCTATACTCAACATCGATGCTGCCTATGTGCACCTTTGTGAAAGTTGACATCCTTGAAAGCAATAATCACTAAAATGCAACTCAATGACAGATAGAGAAGAAACGGCCCTTACCATTGCGAGTGAACTCATCTCCTGCAATTATGCATCCATGGGTATTACTGATCCGAACAAAATGAGCGGTTGGAACCCATATGGTTTCTTTGTACCATTACGATGACTGGATTTTCGAAAGTGAACGCATTGCAACACACGAGAGGTGATATAATTTATTAGCGCCAGGCGGCATGGAGAGTGCTTAATGGCTTAATGTTTCCTAAAAAGAATTGCTAATGCTTTCGCTTTAGATGTCTATCCTATTCTGGCTAGAGCATGGTAGGCTTCGCTCTGTTGTTATACTACAATACCAAACTCGTCATTTGGGTGCTTCCATCACCAAGGAGGCAGCTACCGATCACACCTGGTACTCATCAACACATTTCAAACCATCCTATTGGCCACCTGTCTGCGATTGGGTACTTTGAGCGAAAAGTACTAAAAATGTTGAAGTTGATGAAAGCAACAAAATTTTCAAAAAGGCAATTACTTACGCTCAACTGCTGAATCCAATAAGCGTTTACGCTTGAGCGAGTGACAAAAGCAGGAAATTTGAAAGCGACAAAACAGATAAGTCATTATAAAAGCGAAAAACGGGTGATCTTGAAACGATTGTCGTCCTAAGATTTACCCCAGTTCGACGCCTAACCATGTTGGTTTCCACTTGACTTGTAGCAGCTTTCTGGCCTTCTTAAAAAACTTTAAGAAAAGCAATAAAATGATTTTTAATCGAGACAGCAAAACCACTTACCTTCTTCAAAATTCAAATTTTCCGCTGCCAACTGTACACGATCTACAAAAACTATTTTGGACTACAATTGTTACAAAGCTGGAATCCACTTCGTCATTCACATGGGTCCTTCGTCCTTCCTTACCATTAGGATGCTTGGATTCCCAAAAACAATGTATCGAAGAGCGACACGCAGGAGATGGGATGGTGTGAGTTAGGCCAGGCAGCGTAGGAAATGCTTAATGGTCCCTGGAATAAAATGTTGACTGGTGCTTCCATTACCAAGAAGGCATTTGCTACCAACCAACCACACTTGGTAACTCACTCCGTTCAACATACTCCAAACCATCCTATTGGTCAATCCCTGTCTGTGATTGGGTATTTTAAGTGAAAAATACTAAAAAATGATGAAGTTGATGAGAGCAACGAAGTTATTCAGGCGGTAATCACTTACGTCTAACTGCTGAGTCAACAATAGGTGCTTATGCTTAATTGAGTGACAAGACCAAGGAAGTATGAGTGCATTAACGCAGCAGGTAAGTTTTGAGGAGTTATCGTCTTACAATCACCTCAGCCCGACGCCAAAAAGAATTGTTTGACTTCTGGTAATCATTCATTCTTCATACTGAATTAGGCTTATGTCTTCAGCAAAAACTCACAATCGTCGTCTTCGGAGGTCTGAAGTAGATTGCAGTTTGAATCTGGGAGAACAAGACCGCCAAACGCCAACACCGAACATCAGCGAGTCTAGATCTCGTCTCGCGCACAAGTACTGAGACACACGGCGGTGAAGAAACTGACCTCTGATCCACCGCGGTGTTAGTGAGGAAGTCATTAGCCTCACAAAGGACGCGGAAGACGTTGAAAGCTGTTCAGTGGATCGATCTTTATATATGTGCAGGCTGTAACTCAAATATCGACAGATACGGTAAGAGTTCGGTCTATCGATGAGCATTCAGTTTTGTTGTTCATGCTTGGATTCCTAACGGAAATCCATGCCGCCTCCAAAGTTTTTCGTACTACAATTTCTGCCTCGTAAGATAGAATTGTGCATTTTACATCAAATTCACCGTCATTATGTGCTTCTATCTTTTGTTTTCCCAACGGTGACCTTGCATTGATTTAGAACTTATATTACAACAATTTTGTCTTCAGCAATAACTCAAAAATCTCGTTCTCTTCAACACTTTCCGCCCTGCGAATACCAGAAAAGACTATAAATAGTTCAAAGTACCTCGCTTCTCGCTTCTGCTTGTTTCGCCGCTTAGATGATAGAGTCCCGGCACACTTCTCTGAATACGCAAGCCATCCGATATGCTGATCACGAATACCGTTCTCATTTTGCATGACACAGCTTTTTCGCAAATTTTTGGGGCTAAAAGACCCGAAAAGCGAAAAGTGTTAATTTACAGGATGCGAATCACCACAACTCCAAATCGCAGCGGAATAACATAATATTCGTTATCAGCATGCATCCCCACCGTGACTCGCCAAAACGGTGCCATCTTGCGAAATTAATGCGCATGTTCAGTGCGTCATAGAACCCCATAGAGCAAATTGGTTTTAGCTGCCTACTGTGTACTCACCGTAACCGCACGGGGAGGCGTTTTCGTGCGTAAAAAGTGTTCTATTCGTGATCAGCATGACAGATACCTCCTTGGACCAAGCTTGAGGGAAATTCTCGACAAGAAATTTTGGGGCCCCATAGCCGAAAGTAGTTCCTGACTGGAAGAGGCGCTGAGAAAAAGAGCGGCGAGAGTGCACGAGGAGAGGGGAATGACGCGCAATACGCCACTTCACGCCCTGCGCTTGTTTACAGTCGAATCATTTCATATTATATGATCATGTGCATTGCACACACCGTCCATCTTTGGCGTCCTCATCTTGGATTTGCAGTCGCAGAAATGCAAGAGACTGACCAATTCTTATTTATATCACTTTGAGATGATTAGTACCTGAAGAGAAAAGTAGTTATTACAAACACATCGCTTATTAAAAGACAGCGGAGGCCGAGAGGAAGGGGTGGGAGGGAGAGGGGCACTTTTTGGCTTTTACTTACATGGGTTATAAATAAAGGCTGCTGCATGACGAAGGCGCAACACCTTTGGGAGCGAACGCGGCTTTATTAGCCGCAGAGCGCATAAGGCGCAGGATTTACAACGGTGAAGATACGCGCGCGCCGAGTTCGCACCCGCTTAACTGATACTGCTATTGCGCCTTCTTTATGCAGTAGCCTTTATGTGCAAGTGATTTGTTCGTTTTTGTAAGTAATTAAAATAATTGTTTAAATTTTTCAAAAATCTAAATTTGCCCTGTAAAAATTTTTTTTCGGGCCCGTAGCTGCCGCCGCGTCCTCTTTTTCTAGATTTTAGGGGTTATGGGCCCGCAGAAATTATAAGGAGCAGCCCAAAAGATTTTTCGAACTGCGTGACTAACGCCACGCACCTTCATTAAAAAAAAATCCTCCCCCACTCCGGACGGAAATCCTGCGATCGTCACTGTTAGAGGGTTGTCTGCTCCAAGAATCCATGGATGCAGTGGCCGTATTCATCATTGATACCTTGAGGTAACTTCTACCTCCAGGTAGTTTTATCACTCACTAGCTGGCTTACCCGGCTCCGCCGCATGTTCCAAATAGAAAATTCCATTTCTTAACCGATCCGGACCAAACTTGGCACACATACCCTTCGGGCCCCGGCGGGTGTCGCAGTCCACTTTTCGTTATCGATCGATGTCGATTTTATCAATTTTTTGCAAAATTTGAGCTACGGGGTTGGGAGTTGGCAGAGGGGTGTAATCGAGCATGCTGATCACCCCCACGGGGGTGATCAGCATGCTCGATTACCCCCCTGCGCCAAATCCCAGCCCCGTAGCTCAAACTTTGCAAAAAAATCGATAAAATCGATAAAAGTAATGCACGATTTTAAAAACTAATATTGTATTCGGAATCCCCATGCTCACTTACCCCCCTATGCCAACTCCCAGCCCCGTAGCTCAAATTTTGCAAAAAATCGATAAAATCGACATTGATCGATAACGAAAAGTGGACTGTGACACCCGCCGGGGCCCGAAGGGTATGTGTGCCAAGTTTGGTCCGGATCGGTTAAGAAATGGAATTTTCTATTCGGAACATACGGCGGAGCCGGGTAAGCCAGCTAGTGAGTGATAAAACTACCTGGAGGTAGAATTTACCTCAAGGTATCAATGATGAATACGGCCACAGGATGGGAACGCCAAAATGGACTGTGTGTTCAGTGACACACATGGTCTAATGTTTGACCGTGTTCGCGTAAACACGGTTAGGAGAAGACTTCCGTAATGCTCTCAGACAATTGTTGCAGCGGCCCGGTCGCCCAACTAGGCTTCGATGTTGAGCCGCGGCACCAATATCTCCCTTACATGCATCAGGCCTAGCGGCGGACCACAGGTGTGAGCTGGCGACCCGCTCACATAGTTGATGTCATGCTGACGTTGGCCCGCACGCCTTTATAGGCTCATAATCTCACTGGCGACCAGCGCACCCATACACACGCATGCTGAAATTAACAGCGACCCGCTCATCCATATAAATTAATGCACGTTATGAGCACAAGGGTAACTCGCGTGAGATACCATGCAATGAAAGGGATGCCATCGGAGCTTGCTGGAGGTGTAGCACTTGTATTTGGGATGATAAAAGGTTTGCTTATGAGTTGACCTTCTATGGGATTTTGAATAATCTCGTGTAGTTCGATCAGTAGTGTGATTACAGGAACGAGTTCCACCATCTTTGATTTCACATGGGGTTGTATCCACATTTGAAATGACCTGCGCATGCAACTGCAGCCGAGAAACCCAACCCTAGGGTGGCCCTGCTATGCTAGCGCGGGCCAACGCAAAGGAGACATTGAAATACAGGCTGGCCGGCTCGTCCGGGTGACAGGGTCGCTGTACATAGGGATCGTTCAGACCGCGCCGGTACCCGTCCAAACCCGCCCGAATACGTCCGAATCCGCCCGAATACGTCCAAATCCGCCCAAATACGTCCAAACCCGCCCAAATACGTCCGAATACGCCCGAACCCGCCCGAACGCCGGAACTGCCAAAGCGCAGCGGGTATGCGGCAAATTGGCATATTGGAGCACGCGCAGAATACTGCGTGCCTCGTGCATATAACTTAGTCACACGTAGCTCGACGTTACATACTGATCTTTTGCAACTACTCCGATTTCACAAGGATCAATCCCATGCGTGCTCCAATATGTCAATTTGCCTCATAGCCGCTGCGCTTTGGCAGTTCCGGCGTTCAAACGGGTTCGGGCGTATTCGGACGTATTTGGGCGGGTTTGGACGTATTTGGGCGGATTCGGACGTATTCGGGCGGGTTTGGACGGGTACCGGCGCGGTCTGAACGATCCCATACTGAAACCGTCGCTGGCCCGCGCTAGCATGGCAGGGCAAGGCCCGGAACGGATTTTCGCCCAGCCTGCCATGAGCGCGCGGGTGGCCGCAAAAAATGTCTGAGCTCTTCTCTCCCTGTTCAGCATGCTTTAGCATAACCGGCAGGGGAAGACTTGCGTAATGCTCCTCTCCCCTTGTTCAGCATGCTTTAGCATAACCGGCAAGGGAAGACTTCCGTAATGCTCCTCTCCCCTTGTTCAGGTTATGCTTTAGCATAACTTGAGATTTTAATCTTGTATCAACCTATCTACTATAAACCCCCACAGCCTTATCAAAGAACCTACATAACATGCAAAATGTGCACCATCTTGAACCCAAGCACTGCAGCCAAGAAAGCACTGATGTCGTAAGCGAAATTCGAAAAAAAGACGTTCGTGTGCCGATGCAGACAATGACTTTGCGGAACAGTATCCGTCAAACTATGCCAAAAAATTAAACTCTTTTTCACTTTTCTTCGTGTTCCTCTTCATTATGATCCAGTTTACATTGTCAAGTATCTGAAAGTTAGAAAATCCATTTTTTAAATTGATTTGATACAAGTTTATTGTGTGCTACCGTCCCCTGTTAAAGTTCCACGTTGGCATGACTATGTGTAAAGTAATGGACGATTTCTGATGGCTTTGAGTTTTAGTTGTTCGTTGTTTTTCCGTTTCCCTAGCTGTTCTTCTTTTACTTCGGTCGTCTCTGTTTCTTTAATATGCAGTTCGAACTACCCAACAAAACCTTCTTTGTTTCTAGGATGGGGGGTGCACCGTCGAAAACAGAACCTCCAGTGGTAGTTACCTCAAAAATACCCTTGTTCTGCCTGAAGAAGGTGGGACCACGGCATATCATAGTGGCAGGAGGAGGTGGTGAATCAAAAACCGGGGTACTCAATCTTATGCAGGTAAGAAGAGGATTTGAATTCGCTAATCAGCTCAACAATTTGGTTTTCATTTCAGACCTATTTGTTGACTTTCAAGAATAAAAATAAGCCAAATGCGCCCACTCCCATCGTCGCAAAACTTGTTAATACGGTTAGAGTCTGCAAGGTGTTTTTTTTTGTTATTAGAAGGATTTTGTAACAGATAGAAACAGATGTATATGCAACTATGAACATGGATGTAGTATGTTGTTCAAATCCAGAAAAGGGACGATATCTTATAGCAGCTGGCCATGGACAGGTATGTGAACGTCTCGACTTTTTAATGCTCTTTTTTCTTTGTTTAACTCTGATTTATTCACGTTTTAATACCTTTCTCGATCCAGTAACGTTTAATATCATATCTTACTCACCACTATTTAGTATTGTGACATATATGAAACCATGGGTTATGAAACTGGAAAGGATGATGCCGATAAAGAAGTCCTCTCATATAAAATCCGTAGTGTTGGGCGATTGACTACGGAGGAGAAAGTTGAATCATTCCAGGTCAGTAAGCTACTATATTTTTTACTCTTTCTAGCTTTGACCAATCTTGAAGAGCAATGAATCTCATAGTTGAACAAGTTTATATGCTCCCTTTTCATCTTTCTATGCATGTTAAGCTATTCGAATACGTGCCAGCTTTATTTTTTTCTCACCAGATCTGGCAGAGTGCTATCTACAAATCTCCTTTTTCTACCAACTTTGTCGCTTTTGTTTTTCATTTGGTAACGTTCCAGCCAAAATTCATTGTGGATTATTTTGTGGTTCCATAAATGTCGTATTTTCTCTGTAACCCTTCAGAAATGCGTTCGATTTGACCGGTCTACGGCTGGAAAACGAGTGGTAACGGGAGGAGAAGACGGACATGTCCGTGTTTGGAATGTTCGAGCTCTTGTCGAAGACAGGGTTTGTAAACAATCTGTGATTTTTATTTTTTCTCAAGGTTGTTCTCACCTCACTCAATTTCAGAATCCAGAGATCATACATAAACCTATTGCTGAATTCAAAGCTCACAAATCAGACGTATTCGATATCGACATTTCGCCAGACGGTCGAGTCATCATGTAAGCAACATCTCGTGCCTGATTTATAAAAAATTTTTGTTTTCTTTCGCTATTTTTTCTGTTTCTACCACTGTGATTCAGTTCCGTTGGCCATGATGGTATTGCCAAATTGTGGGATATGAATCTTGGAACCCTTATCCAGGAGGTTCCATTTCCTTCTGAGTGTGCTAATGGTTACAAAGTAAGAAAATTGGCTCGTACTTTTTTTTACGCATTGTGAATATTTGGAGATTGCCGCGAGTACTTTTACTTGAATTTTTCAGGTTCGGTCTGTTCGGTGCACTTCACTTGGAACGGGTAGTAATATTGTATTCATTGCCGGATACAATCCTGTTTCCTTGAGTTCAAAGCGGGTCTCGTTCTTAGCGTTATGGGTTTACAGCCGAGAACGCAATGTCATTCGAAAAATCGTTGGGAGGAGTACGGGACAAGGCGATGTAAGTATTCCAAAGCCTTTTTGGTTGATATATGTTACACTGACTTTTTTTCAGGGTATAGCATCGTTGTGCGTCAGTTCATGTGGGAATTTCACGGGTATGGGTTCTATGGGTGGAAGTGTCTTTATTTATGATACTCACGAACTGAAGCAGCTCGTTGCATTCAAGGTAATATCAAGCAATCTTCTTTAACTCTTTATCCCGAATGATCCTTTTTAGGAGACGCATGGCATTTTTGTAACTGCTGTGGAGTTCTTGGATCGAACAGCATCAGATGTTTTGTCGTTGATACCACAGCCAAATAAGGACAGACCCCGGCTTGTCGCCGGACCTGGCTCAATTGCACGTGCCTCCATAATTTCACTTAGTGCTGATCAAACAATACAGGTATCTATCATGATTGAACTTCATCATTTACATTGCAGCCCTTTTTGTCAGACTCGAAAGTTTGATATAATAATGATAGAAGGAGCTGCTTCGGAGTCACAGCAAGCTTCTGAGAAATATGCATTTCCATAGAAATTGCTCGCCGTTCGCAAGCAAATTTCTATACTCCTGATTTTTGCTACGAACAGTAGCAGATGGGGTGACAGTCAAAGAAAGTGCAACACATAGCTTTAGCTGAATGCATGCACTGCCCTGTCCAGTTTTAGGTGACTGTACAACATCTGGCATCTTATTAATAGCATTTACAGTGCTTGTTTTGATCGTAGTTGTTTACGGTGGCTTGACTTCTTGAAGATTTGGTGACCAACCCAGCGGTATCTCAAGGTGTTCGAACAAGTTTTGAGATTGTATCGATTTCGAATAACGATCTAAGTTTTTTTGCATGGTATACAGAGTGTATTTCGAATAACGATCTAAGTTTTTTTGCATGGTATACAGAGTGTACCAAAAATGTGAACAATGTTCGTTATTAACCCCTTGCTCTTATGTCTTTTCTCTTGTCTGTCGAGTTTGAGGCACCATTTTGTAGAGCGAGGTTCAACTTAGATCGACAATACTTGATTAGATTCACAGTATGGAGCGAATCACCGATCGCTCTTCGTTACTGTAGGATTACGGTAAGAACTTCCAGCATGTGGAACCATTTTGAAATATGCCAATTGACAAATTCTTTTTTAAATTTGAAAAATCGTGTACTAGAGTTTTCGATTCCACTACACAACTTTTTGCGAGTGTTTTCAGCTTTTTAAACGGTGTAATCACTTTTTTGACAAGTGCTGGGAGAAAGCATCACAGTAAAATGGAAATTTGGCATTTGAAATCTCGGCTTCTATACTATGTTATAAGAGTTTGTTTGGTTTTGTTTCGAGACAGAATATGGCCTCCAACGGCCTAAAATCCTTGTCAAAGTTCCTAAAGTAACCTTACAATAATGAAGAGCGATCGATGGTTCGCTTTGTACTGTACATCTAATGTAAGTTGAACCTCGCTCTAAAGAATGGTAACTTCAGGCTTGGCAAAAGACATGAAAACAAGGGAGTTATTGACGATCAAACAGTGTCCACTTCTTTGGGACACCCTGTACATTTGGGAAAATCCGCGCCTTTTTTTTTAGATTTACTGTCTATACACGTGGCTAGAAATTGTCTAGATCTTATATATAAAGCTGAATGTTTGTTTGTCTGTCTGTCTGTCTGTATGTCTGTCTTTGTATGTCTGTCTGTCTGTATGTCTGTCTGTACGTATGTTCCGAATAGAAAATTCCATTTCTGAACCGATCCGGAACAAACTTGGTACACACACACTACGGGCCCCGGCGGGTGTCATAGGCTACTTTTCGTCATCGATCGGTATCGATTTTATCGATTTTTTTCAAAATTTGAGCTAGGGGGCTGGAATTTGGCAGAGGGGTGTAATCAGCATGCTCGATTACCCCCCCCCCTGTGCCAACTCCCAGCCCTGTAGCTCAAATTTTGCAAAAAATCGATAAAATCGATATCGATCGATGACGAAAAGTAGCCTATGACACCCGCCGGGGCCCGTAGTGTATGTGTACCAAGTTTGGTCCGGATCGGTTCAGAAATGGAATTTTCTATTCGGAACATAAGGCGGAGCCGGGTAAGCCAGCTAGTTTTCTATATTCTCTTCATTGCGATATGGTAACAAAAGTTGAACTTTACAATTTTGACACTACTTGTAAATTGGGACCAAAAATCAAAAAATGTGATGAAGTCACTTTTTGAAAGTTGTATTTGAGTGTCTGTTCACGTCTTGACCTGCGTCCTTCTGGTAGCTGTTATTTCCAAGGATAAGACAGTAAGCAGCATTATCTGTATTTCTCGTCTCTTCCTCCATTTCTCAGTGCCTCCCACGCTCTAGCGCAAGCGGTCGTTTCCTGCGAAACACCTGTTTTACAAGCGGAACCCACAGTATTTTCGAAAGCAAGAAGCATCTGCAATCACGTGAAACGCATAACTATCTACTTCGTTTTTTTTGCAGGTGCATCATCTACCGTTCGAGCAACATTCCACGACAAGTTTTCTCGTTAAATTATTCCTGTTTTCATTAGTTCTTTACTACCTGGTTTGGTGCCTTTACTCCAAATACTAAGACTGATTCTGATTACTGTGTCGCATAAACATAATATTTTGTCTTTCTAATTCGATTGTTATCCTTCGTTGTGCATCTGCGGTTTGTAAACGGTGAAAAGCAACTTCACATATCAAATTTCTATATGGTCATGTTTCTGGTTTTCGTATATCGGTTTTGAGTAATTTTAGTAATTTATTGGAGATTTGTACATTCATATATGCTATTACTATGAATCCTGCCGAAAAATATATAGGTACATTTGAAAGTGTTTCACACATAAGTATGGTTATCCCCAAGTGTCACAGCATTAGCGCAGATCTTCATTTCTTTGAATTCAGCAAATACAAGCGTGGTGAATGCGGAGGTTCAAAAGAAAACTTCTTTGGGAGCTCTTATTTTAAACCTGGACGAGTTAACGTAAAGCACGCCTAGGTTAGGCCTAAGGCATACTTCACGTGATTCCAGTCGCTGCGCGATCTGGCGCTGCAGCGATTCTTCGTAACTGGTCCTTAGCGCGCTTTGCATAGGCCAGACTCAAAGCTTTTGCTATAACTTACGGTAGCTACGCGCCTATGTTAGGGATCTGTAAATATCTGGCAAACTGCCAAGTCGCGTGAATGTAGCGACTTGACGAAATCGCGCGAGGTATGCCTTAGGCCTTAGAGACGCATAGTCATTCTACTATATTCACAGTTGTATGGTATGCGCGTAATGTGGTATAGCCTGACTATATCGCATAGAAGTGAATTGAGAATGGACGACTCCAGCCGCCATTGTGCAGACGCCTAGGTTAGGGTTATTGTTATGGGGTAGAGGACTATATGTCGCCCAAAGTGGACGGGTCCCGCGCGGGCAATGCAGCAGATACTCAGCCTGTGCATGTACGGGAACGTGTATTTGTGGCAGATGTCCTGCGGAACCTCCCACTTTCGGCGACATATAATCCCGTTCCCCCTGTTATATTCTCTTTGATTGATTTAAGAACTGAAAAAAAAGTCCAGTATCTGGGTTTGTGCAAGGTGGCGAGGACCAGTTCTCGTTCGCCTTCACTGGATCAATGATAAAGTAACTGTCTTTTTCAATGTATAAGTTTTGAAGGAAGACAGTCTGATTTTGCCGAATTTGCACGATAAGTAACAGATATCGAGATTGCCGACTTTTTTTTCTAGAATTCTCCATCCTTCTCATACCAGAGTCAATGCAAATGTCATCAATTGCTTATTGTTTCCTTGATTTTGAGCTGAATTCGTTCAAATCTTTATTCAACCAACTCTATAGAAAAACGACGAAATTTTTGAGTAAGAAAACGAGCACGCTTTCACGAAAATTCTTCTCGCATCTGTGAGAAGTTTATTTGAACTGACACACACAATATAACAATGTCCATGGTGTTTTCTTTGTTTTATCAGATTTATTGTGTGTATGCGGTTGACTTATTACAAACGGACTACAATTTGTTTATGTTGTGATCACACAGCATTCACAATGAATTTGTGGGTTGCAGGTGAGGAGAGAAGATAGCGCCGCGAAGAAGACGATGGTGGGAGAAAGGAGACATGTAAAACGGGGGGAAGTGGGGCCAAGAAGAAATAAAAACAGAAGACTTGGAAGAAATAAAGGATATTAAAGGAAATGAAGAGCGAGACAAACGAGAGACGATGATGACGACGAGACAGGAGTGTGTTGAATGCAAAATTAATAGCCGGAAAGCTCTTGGAAGGTCGAATCGAGCTCTTCCGAAATCGCTTTGTATCTCTCCTTCTCGTGTACCAATTCATCTGTAATTACATACAGATACATCACTTTTCTCTCTCACAACATTTGAAACAAAATAAGTGCTTTTTTAGAGTGAAAATGGGGGAATAAACAAACAAACAAACAATTACAGTAGGCAGCCACAGTAGTAACACAGCACACGCGTTCACGCATTCGAAGTTTTGCGAAAAAAGGGCACAAATAGGTAAATCTGAGAAAAAAAAGTTCGCACATGCACCTAGAAAACACACACATTGACAGACAAAACGGATGCACGTAAATCTTCTTTCAGGCAAAGACAGATAGACAGACAAAGGTGTAAAGTCAGAGATAAATAGCCACAAAGACGTTGTAAGAGAAATTTCATGCGAAGGTATTGATAAATTTGTATAAAATTGGGGGTTCGAGGGATTTGGAAATCGTTGTTGTGGGTGAGTGCAGACAATACAATGTTTTTGAAAATAAAATTGATTCACTAACACCGGCTATGTATTGAATGATTAAAACCAATCTATGAATGATTAGTATGGAGTATCAACAAACATTGCATTCGAATTAGATTTTCAAAACTAAAAAGAACAATTTATGTGTGAGAGAAAAAAAAACAGCTAGCACTCTAGAAGAACAAACATGTTTCAAAAACTTTTAGAGAAAACAAAAACACACAACCGCACGCAAATTTCCGGAAGAAAAAGCAAAAACACTGGAGGAAATGTTGTAGGAAACACGCCGAGGGTGCTTGGCAGCTCCATCACTCGTTTGTCTTCTTCATAGGAAGAGAGAGGCGAGAGAGACATGTTTGGTATGTCTTTGATTGTTTGTGTGAATTTAAACACCGTTAAGTTCCGTGAGAAGGTGATCGAGTTCTTCTTGAAGCTGACGATTCTTTCGATCAGCTTCATCTTTTTCTTCTGAAACTCACATTATAGCACACACTGCATTCAAACTTAACATAATCAGTTAGTAAATTTCAGAAAATAAATCAAAATTTTTAAGGTTAATTCTCATCTAGTCGTTCATTTAGTCCACAATACTTTTTCCAAACCATCCGGTCTCAATCTATCATGCTACTCATGCACAAGACTCCCAGAGAATCTCCACACATGCACTTGCACGGGTTACGGTAGTTCCAGAAGAGGAGCACACGTCGAGCAATGCACATGACACGTGCAAAGTGACGAACACACAGAGACGATAACTGACACTGACACAGTTTATGAGCCTTGGATCTCCTGTACGGTCTGCTCGATCTCTTCGGTCAGATTACGAACACGTTCCTTCTCGACCAGCAATTCATCTACAGACACCAAACACATAGATTATCACATAAATAAGCACTGAGACATAGTTGATGTGGGACACTTGACATTTTGTAAAGCTGAAATTAAGATTTAGTCGACCATGCCGCATTATGGTGCCGGCCCCGCCCACTCGCTTGCGGCGCACTTCTTAGAAAAGAATTATTGTTTCTGGGAGATTGATGTGGACATTTGAACTGTAAGACTGAAGTAAACATTTAGTCAACCATGCCGCATTATGGTGTTGGCCCCGCCCACTTGTTTGCGGCGCAGTTTAGGAAAAAACAGTATCAAGTGAGTTTTACACGTATTACATGTTCAAACGCCAATCTTTTATTATCCCCCTACTCCAAGAGCTCATCCCTAGTTTGCGCATTTTTCAGCTCATAAAAAATTGAAATTCTCAAACCAGTTTTAAACTGGACCCCTAATTTTTCCAAATGATAGAAAACGAGTTTCTTCACACAAAAAATCACTAGATTACCCTCAAATATATACACCGGAAGTTGAACAATTTGTACGCATCATTGCCCTGACACCTACCACATTAAATTTACAACAGTATTGCAACATAGGAGGGGGGGGGAAGAACCCAAGAGTGCCTCCCACGTGTTTCCGCAAAAATTTCGTTCTATTACACATCAATCACGGATGGCACACGCGCATCTCCAGCTCACAGTGAGTGGGCGCGAAATTCTCGGAAAACGCAAAGCATGCGGCAGCAGCGGTGGTGGCGGCGCTGACGACGAAGAAATGCACACATAGAGCGCCTTGCGCGCGCGCGCTCAGCCCACAATCTCAAAAAAAAACATAACAAAGACACGAACACTGATCACTTGCAGACATTCACACTAGTTTTTGCCCCATAGATATTGAAATTTGAAATTTTGAAATGTTACAGCAAAAATAGACCCACCTTCGAGTCTGTCGACCTCCTTCTGCAGCTTTTGTACTGAACGCTCAGCGAATTCAGCACGGGTTTCAGCCTAAATATGGTAAGATTACGGTAACGTACAAGAAATGAGAGCAAGTGCTACATTGCTCTTGAGAACTATAACGGTACGACATTTACACAAGATTCTGCTGAATAGGGAAAATTAAGAATCTTCGTTCTGTGGTCTGCGTCTCTCAATTTTTTGTTTTGTGGTCTGCGTCTCTCAGTTCTACACAGTATTTCTCATCCGCAAAATTTGGGGCAGCTTTTGCAACAAAAAACTCTATTCTTATAGATTTTTCCTAATCAGCAGTACTTTCGAGTTACTAACATGTACCAAAACCTTAACCAAAAGTAACTGTACTCATTTTGGACAACACTAACACTAACACTAGGGTGCGACGTAGTACAAAACGATAAAAGGACAAGTTGTGATTCATGCTACCTCCTTCAGACGAGCGGAAATGGTACGGATCTGTTCCTCGTATGAGTCTTCACGTTGTAGGGCTTTCTCCTCGGATACTTCGAGTGACTTCAGGTTATTACCAACGACACGTAGCTCTTCTTCGAGTTCGACGATCTTGCTGTAGACAAAACACAACGATTTTACAAAATTTGTAAACAGGCGCAAAATTCACAACCACGTTCACATTTTTTCAAAAGACCACAACACTACTCCGGGTTCACTTTACTAAATGGGGATAGGCAGCAGTACTATCGCAGCACTAGCACAACACAATATTTGTGTAGAATCGTGCTCCAGTGCTAAGATGCGACGCAGACCTCTTTCAGGCGACTTTCAAGCGCAGATACATGAACGGCGATGTGATTTTCGCGCTGTAGAGCCTTCTCTTCGATGGTTTCTTTCTTACGTAGGTTCGTAGCAATTGCGGCCAAGTCGCGCTCGGCTTCAACCGCCCGCCTGACGAGAAGAGATGAGATTAGAGGAATCAAGAAGTGTTAACGGAAGATCTTTCCAATAAAAAAATGAAGGTTTTGCATAGGGTACGCAAAAGGATCACAAAGTGGAATAAAGCTCAGAGGTTCAAATAAAAATTAGTCGTACTAAATAGCAGTGTTATATGATCTTTACTCGGATATTTTCAGAGGATAGGGGTGAAAATATGTCTAGTAGAGGTTTTTGAAGAGGGTGTAAGATCAAGTGGTTATTGTTCCGATTCGGAAACGATGGTGACGAAAGGTGTTCGGTTGTTTGAGCAAGAAAGCAAGAAAGGGAAGAGCACTTCGGACGAGAAAATTTGACTCGACGAAGAGGACGGCCTTTTTCGAACCTCTTTGAGTCTGTAGTCGAGTTGACGGACTTCTTGCGCAAATCTGTCCTCTTTCTCTAGCGCTTTTTCCTCGGAAAGTTCCAGAGATTTCAAGTTGTTACCGATTACACGCAGTTCTTCTTCCAGCTCGACGATCTTGCTATAGATGTGCTATCTTATATTAATTCTGATGGGGTAATTTGCAATGAAAGACCTGGAGAAAAAATAGGAAAGATGAGGAGAATGATATCGTGAAGGAAATCAGCCACTAAAACGAGAAGAATCTAGGATTTGTTTTCGAAAAGTTTGGAAATAAGGCTTGATGGCGGATCACAGTAAGCAGACATTGATAGGGAAGTAGTAGCGTAGTAGCTTTCATAATTCAAGAACTCCAATACAAGGGCCCATGATAGTTTGGAATTTTGGAGGATTTCTAGAATTGTTATTCACAAACAGTAAAGAGAGAAAAGAACTCAAACCAGTCTAACAATGCCTCAGTATTTTAAGAAAAGATAAAAAAAACCTACTTCTCTCCGGCTTCGGCACGTTCCTCAGCTCTTTCAAGGTCGGCTTCAACCATGGCCAGCTTACGGGCTACCTAAACTACACACTGAGACTTCGCTCAACCCCAGTATAAACATAAACACAATCGTCTAAGCAGTCACTGCTTCTGTGATGGGGTTAAGGAACGAAAAAATCACACATGCACACACACTGTAAGTGTGACCCTGAAACATGAACTGAAAATGAGATTTTCGAAGAAAAGAAAAACTTCTGACGATGACGCTGTTAGAGAAAACTGCAGGAACGCTCGTTATGGGCCTGGTGCAAAAATTTATGCAATCAGGGCGGTTTGTTCTCGCCTCATCGTATTTTCGGTCAGCTTCCTCGGCAAGCATTTGGGCTTCTTTGAGCTGGGCTTCAATGGTGTTTGCACGCTCTTCATCTTGGAATGAGCGGTTTTCCATCACCTTGCGTACACTGAACCGTACAAATGCTATGTTTTGATGAAAGCTGTGTGGCAAAATTTGCTCCAATCAACACTCATTCCTTATTAGTGCAGGAATAAGCGAGAAAATGAGCAAATTGTGGTAAAAAATAATGTGGTCAAAGCCATGGCATACCTCCCGCTTGCAGTGCTTTAGAAATACCTAGGTAAGATAGGACAAGACAAGCAGATACATAAAGCTAGTGCACAGATAACAGAACCCAGGTTATACCCCGGGGTGTGGAATTAGTATGGGGTAGATTATTTGTACCTCTTCACTCTTGCTTTCAGTTTCATGCAGTAACGCTTGAGCTTCACGTAGTTTTGTTTCAAGCTCGGCACAACGATCCTCGTCCACATCCACTCGATTCTCCAACGATTTTCGTGCTCTATACAATTAAAACTAGTTAGCATCACACGCAAATTAACCTCTGAGGACAGAATCTGGCTTTGGTCGTCTTTACGGAAAGATCGAAAGAACTGCATGGGTGAAAGCAGCCATGTGTAATGGTTATGCCAATTTACTGGGGAAGACTCGTTGAACGCACTACATCTATGGCAAAAAAACGAGTCAAACCACATTCCTTCACTTCTTCACATTAGCGAACAATTTCCGGATTGGTTCACTAGTCTGAGAAACGCATTGGCATCACACAAATTAGGTAGTGATGAAGAAGACCCGTTCTCGAAGCCAGACTCTGTCCTCTCTGGGGAATGAATTGGTTTATCGTAAGTTAGATCAAACAATTTTTCCGTGATTTTCCTCTGAAAAAAACAAGAAGGCCCTGAAATGACAGACACAGACATGCCACACATCAACTCATCACACTATGACATCGTCGGTCGGAATCCAGAAGTATAGACGGATGCGGGTGTCACACACAGAACAACGACTGCTGACTAGAAAACATGAAAAACCCGTAAACCGTAAGGGGTTACGGTTGCGGGGGTGTGCGGACCTCTTCGTATTTGCGGTCCGCGTCTTCAGCAATCACTTTGGCCTCATCGACCTGGGTTTCGAGGAAGTTGGCCCGTTCCTCATCTTGTTGCGAACGTGTCTCCATTGACTTGCGAGCACTACACAAAACACAAAGTAATTAACGACACTTGACTTGGACATCGTTGTTTAAAGCAGATTTTAGTCAATTTAGAGGACAAGGGACATTCTTTTTGGGACAGGCAGATGTTCTGCATACTGTCCCAGAGTGTGTTTTCAAACTTGAACGAAGCAATCACAATTCGACACCGGACACATCGGACAATCAGCGGCGAATCAGCGGCAAGCGGTCGGCAGACGGCCATCCGTGGCTCGACGACGAAGGCTTGCCACCAACCGCTCGGATTCGTCGACATTGTGAGTGGCCTCTTCGAGTTTTTCGGTGGCAATCTTCAAACGTTCTTCAGCACGTTCAAGTTCCTCTTCTAGAAGAGTCATACGACGATTCAGGGCAGCTACCTCTGCCTCAGCCTATAACGGATTAGCCTAGTTAAAGGAAAGACATAAAACGCATACCGTTCAGCCTCATCGGCTGCTTTCGACGCTTCCTCTAATTTCGAAGTGGCAATCTTCAAACGATCTTCCGTGCGTTCCAAATCCTCTTCGACCAACACAATACGACGATTCAAAGCTGCTACTTCAGCTTCGGCCTATAGTGGGGATATGGCATAGCCAAAAGCTCCAATTTTTTTCAAGAAAAAAAAAATATTAAGTCGTCAAAATATTCACTTTGTTCAGAAACCCCATCTTTTTCCTCCAATTCCCTAAAGGAAAATGAAACACCCCTCCATTACTCATTTCACCCTCGCCTCATTGTACATTCTTTGATGTCGCTCTTTCTTGTATCAAAATGGTGCGACTAACAAACGCATACAAAGCGGACGAAAGTCTACATAGTGCTCTAACATGTCTTTAGTCATCAAAATGTAAACAAATTTCTACAATGCAAAAATGATTCAGACATTCTTTAGCTGATGTCAAAACAGAGCTTTTTTGGGCATGCGACATCCACAGAGAAAAAAGTAAAAAGGCTTGATGTGGAATTTTTGCTCAGATTTTTATCTCTCTTTTTTATGCAAAAACAAATTAGCACAATAGCAGCTGTTTAATCATGGCAGACGCAAAGGTACAACTGAGCCTAAACCCCCACCCCTGCCTCCAGAAAAGGATCTTTGAGGAATTGCGCAAAATATAAATGGTTTAGAAATTTGAATTCTTAGAAACAATTTAGCCTTGTAGAAAATTTTTTTCCGCTAGATGTGTTGTGGATCTAAAACTCCAATCATTTATTGTCTTTCAGTAATAGGATATGCATTTTCCAGTTCAATCGTTGTCAACTATGCAGTATTTTCACTTCACCTTCTCTTCCCATCTCCCCCCCCCCCCTCCCCATCCATGAATACCCAAAAATAACGCATTCCCTTCGCTCCAAGTCTAGTCGTTCGTGCCAAACACTCCCCGCCACCAGCGTTATCACCTAACACACTTATCATAAGCGCTGCTTGTGCAACGAACCAGCTCATAAGCACCGGGTGACAGTCGCAGCAGAGACCGGACAGGGGAGATTGGAAGTGAAGTTGGCGCTGTTCGAGGGCAAGTTGCCGGCCGACACGGCGCCAATCCAAGCACACTCGACAAACAGCACGCAAAGCGAATTCCTCAACTTAGTGACGGGGGAGGGGGGGGGGAGTGGATGGAGGACGTTGGCGGGGGATGGATGAGATCGGGGACTGTTGCCACGCTGCCTTACAATCATCCATGCACTACGCACTTGAAGGGGCCAGGTTTCTTAGGAATCTTAACGCCACGCATGCTTCTGACACTTCTTAGGCAGTTAGGCTAGGAAATGAGGGGCGCTTGAACCAGGAATTTCCCAAAAACACACGGTCTCGCCCCAAAGAACTTTTTTCTTCGGACAAAGTTCGTATAGCCGAGCGGGTATGGTGCTAGACGTTGGCCTTGGGGGTTTAGAACAAGAACGGCAATGAATGAAACATCTGCGTCCGGTCCCTCGAATCGATAGTTTAGCAGCAGCAGCAGCAGCATAGCAAAGGACGAGTCAAGAGCACCCCCCGCACTCTCACTTTACGAAGTGCCCCTTTTTAGCCACCCCCCGGCCGCATGATTTTAGCATTATGATGTTTTCAATGGGAGAAAACTAGGCTGCTTATGTGATTATTGACACGGCAATTTGTTGGAATTCTAGATTATCTTTGGTTGAAAAAACTGAGTGGAAAGAGTGTACACAAGCGATTTAGAACGAAAACACACTTATCGGTGCTTTACAGTTCCAAGATAGAAAAAAAAAGAGAAGAGGAGATGCTAAGAAGATAAAGACTAACTTTACGATTTTTAAGCCCGTCAACCAAGACATTCAATACCCTAAGAATTTCATTTGCTCGTAGTCTTACCAAAAATGGCAATTTATTGTGCTTTTCAATGTCACGAAAAAGAATAGATACGCACATAGTCCCACCGCCTAAGAATTCTATTTCTCAACGCGTTTGAATTTTTTTTAAGATCTTGCGCCTCAAGTAGTTTTGCATAAATTATGCGCGTTCCCATTCCAGTCCAGCTATGCACGCCTGGTGGTGTATTTACAGAATCGACGCTGTTTTTGAATTGGATCCGCTTACAGGCTTTTTCACCAAATTAGTCCAGTCCCAATTAGGAGTAGAGCCGATGCACAAATCATTGTGAGATAGAATTTTGTGTTGGAAGCAAGAATTATGGGTGTTATGAAATATTCCTGTGACTAATAGATGTCAGAAAAAGATGAGAAGATATGGAAATGGATGGAACGAAGTGAAATGAACACAGCTTACATCTTCGCGCTTCTTTTTTTCCTCTTCGAGCTGTCGCTGTACCTCATCAGCCTCGTCCTTGGCCGCTTCAGCCTCTTCGCGCGCCTGTCGCATTTTCTTTTTGAGGACATCGAGCAGCGATGTCTGCTGGGCGCCTTCCTTGTTCACTTTCGACATGATTTGTTCGGTTTGAGCTGTTCAGCAACGATAGCAGCAGTGACGACTAGCAGTGAATACAGAAGACAGGGGAGGACCGGTGAAAGGTGAGCGGAGAGATTGACGGAGATCCTCTCGAAGTGTCGCGCAACTGGCAGCCAACTGTAGGGCGGAGCAGCACTTTCAAGCAACGAGGCACGAGAGGCGCTCCTCTTCTTCTGTGCTCTCCAAGAGATCAAACAAACGATGGCGACGGTTGCTCCGGGGCCGGAAAAACCAGGGCGCGCGACGACGGACGCGACGACGACGAGCACCGAGGGCAGCGAGCTCAGCAAGCACAGCAGCTGGCTCCCTTTCTCTCTCTCGCTTCAGCTCCGCGAACTCAGCACTCCGCACCAACTCTCAGCTTGCGTTGGCGCACACGGCTCGCGCGATCACTTGAAAATGATAAGAATCGATTGATGAGGCTGCGAGTGAGGCGATGCGAAATTCAGGACCACGGCCGCACTACACACACAAACGCACAATAATCAGAGCGGAGAACGTGAACGTGAAGCAGCAGCACGGAGCGCCAGAGCGATGATTCAACGTCGGCCGCTTCGGCTGCAAGGGCACATGTGCCTCGTTACGGTGTGGCGATGAACGAACGAACGCATCGCGCTCGACGCGCACCGAACCGACTGACGTTCATCCGAAGCTTAGCCGGCATTACTGTTGCTGGCAAGTCGAATCATCACTAGCACTTCGGCCACGATATGCAGTAGTAATATTGTGTGGAGGGAAGTGAAAATACCAAAAATGGCGGGAAAATTCTGCAGGAAGTGTGGCCATAGAAAATTTCGGGAAAAAAAGTCAAAGAAAACGTTGATAGTTGCGTTTCACGCTTGACTATCGAGGCTCCAAAAATTTCAAAACATTATTTTTGGAGAGGAAAACCAAATATATACCTTCCAAGACTATGAGATTCGGGAACGCTATGACACGTGCCTAACAAGTGTAAACCTGTTTTTTTTACCAATTTCAAGTAATAAATTATGCAAAATGAGGTGAGGCACATGTAATAACTTGTTAGTCACACGTGCATCAAGCGTTTTCAAGTCTCGTAGTCTCAAAATGGTGCAGACTTGCATTTCAAAAAAAAATTTTTTTTTACGATTGACTTTATGATCACTTTTCTGGAATAGTTCCAAGATCTCTCAAATTTATACAATTTTATATTACGATTTTAAAATAGCTTTCCTACTGTAGCTGACTGGATCTACAACAATACTTTTCAAAAAAAAATTTTTCTCAACATTCTAGATCGTCTTTTCTTCGAAGTATTGTCTGTCTACGCTTTTTCATTATCCGAGACTATGTGTACAGACGCACATGAATTCCCGAGCGAGGACCCATTCTGTCATTGTTTCACGTCAGACATAGGTCAGAAATAATTAAAATAGAAAAAAATTCAATCGCTTAATCATAGCTAGTTGTCTCTGCCATACATGCAAACTTATGCAAGAGATAAGGAATCTAGAGTTCATATTTGTTCCAGAAAAGGGGAAAGTAATAGAATTGTGGTGAGTCGTATAGCAGTGTATTTTAATTAACAAATCATTCCAAAGAAAAACATCCATGGAATTTGCACGTGATCAAAAGGGAAGATGACGATGATGCTACGGAACCGTGCGTATACCGGTTAGAAGGGAAAGATTGATATGAAAACAAGCTTGTAGAGATTTATCATTTGTAACTGCTTCGAACAATGAATAAAAAAGGTGGTTGGGTACCCTAAAGAATCGAGATGGGTTGGAGATTTATTAACGATTTCAAAAAAAGAGTCATTATTTTTGAGTTTTGGATGACCTAGAATATAAAAGAGTTCAAAAACAAACAGGAACTATGGAATGATAGGAATTTCTAAAAATAAAAAGTATGGTACTGGTATAAAAAGTCCGTTAGCTGGGACAACAACGATATCTAGCGATCAAATCCATTATTTACCCAATCACATCAACATCAGAGATCTTGGCTAAATAATAACGAAATATAAATCAAGTGAGTCGACGCTTTTCGAGGAGAATTGAGTGAAAAGTGGAGCAAAGTCGAAGCGCAAGCGGCTCGAACATCGGTTTGCGACCGAAAAAGGAGCGGCGACGGGGGGCGGCATCGCATCGCGACGGGGCCCCGCCCCGTACGCGATACGCGCGATCTGTCCTTCGTCTAGCCGTTTTGAATCGAGCGCTAAAGTGGCGCTGTTGGGGTTGAACACAGCTGGCTATCACTACTGATATGGGGCTTCTTCATACTGCTGTGCTAGGCAGCAAAGAAGCCATCGTTGAAGTTATTTGCCCTCCCCCCTCTTCTATTTCTTAATATGCTTGAAATCTGCACCCATTTCAGCCGATTGCAAATTTAATTCAATTTATGCGCTTAACCGCTGCACTTCCGGGCAAAATGTCTCCAGAGTACATTTTCCAGTTTCAGCGCTCTGAACATTCATGACGAATGCGTATGCGTCAAACATAG